GCTCCCGCCGAATTGTGCGGATACACAACTAATAATGATTATACAATTTTGGTCCCCATAGTTTATAATTGGGTAAACGACAGATTGATAACATAACTAAAATGTCCCTTATTTAACGGAATATTTTAATAACCGTTACAAACAAGGATCAAATCTGGATGTTTTTATAAATCTCAGGACCATTTTATAATTTTGAATTTGTGTAGGGACCAAATTTATAGTTTACTTTTATTTATTTTTAAAGGTTATCACTTTAACTCTCATCAATATCATGTACCATATTTCATCATTTTAAGGAGAGTTCAAATGTATTTGGGCCCACTAATTCTAATCAATTTGGTGGGCCTTTTTTTAAGTGGGCCCAACCCACAAATATCAACTACTACATCATACAAGACTTTGACTTCCTTTTAACTGTTTATGATGATGATTCAATTAATGTCAACATTTTAATAATTAAAAAAGAAATTAAACTTTTAAGTAATATTGTATTTATGTTATAAAAATTTAACAACATTTAAAGACCGTTTACCAAACATTTATCCGAGAACGTTTAACAGACAAAATTCAACATTATTACTTACTTATCAGGTAAGATTTTAATCCATAAAAAAAATGGTATCAAATGTAAAAATTTACTTGGTAAGTGTTAACCGTGGTAAGAGTTATCGTTCTCACTTACCAGGTAAGACTCTTGGTAATTGTCTTTGCTCTTATCGAGTAAGATTCTTGGTATTTACCATATTCATCCGATAAGGAAATGTTACTTGATAAGCGTTTACCAGATAAACGTTTGGTAAACGACCCCTTATACAATTGTATACAATTTAAATTTTTTTTTCCATATTTTATAACAAATACTTTGCTATATTAACTTTAGTATGTTACAATAGAAACCATTGTATATGAGTCTCACACATATAAATATATTCGGGTTCAGAGGAAAACCATAAAAATGTTAAATTAAATAATATCTTAATGACCATTTCATCTGTATGGTATGTATATGTGCATACTGGATAAATTATGTTTATACACCTAGCCACATACAAATACTGTATAAATAAATGATTAATAAAGTGCTTTTCAGTTTTTCATTTAACTTTAAATAAAGTATTTACTTAATATAACATATTTAACTTATTTGCTTAGTTTTAATTCCACTTTGTGGTGTTAAAGAATAGGGAAATTGACTCAAATAGTCATTCCATCCATTTAAATTGGTCTCCTGGCCAATTATCTCTCAGGTTTACCCAAATGTCACTACATCTACAATATTCACCCAAATGTCACTACGTCCGCAATATCCACGTCCACAATCTGCAATATTCACCCAAATGTCACTACGTCCGCAACATCACGGACCAGGATAAAAGACAAAAAAAAAATCAAATTCCATCAGATTAGCAAGTGGCTCTGTCACAAACGGCAATTACGGATTTGGTTGTCATAATTACGGACATGGCCGTCGCAATTGCATTTTAACCATGTCCATAATATCACGGACGTAATAACATTTTGATAAACCCATAAAAAGAATAACCAGAAAAACAATATAAATGAATCATGAATATTCTAGCCCAAATGACTTTTTTTCCTTTTTCAACTATAGGGTACATGAAAATATGTGCACTTTTTGCTTTTTTCCCCATACATAGTTGTAATTTCTACTTATTTTATTAATTTATTAAATCTAATAGTTGTTTATCAATAAAAACTGTATAAGTATTTATACGATAAAAGTCATCATTCTTATTTATCTTATCATATAATATTATCAGTCATTATACGCGCATACCCAATAAACACTAATCGAGTAAGATTATCAGTTAACAAAATGGCAGAGTAAAATTATCGATGAAAATCATATCTTACCACGTAGACGTCTCTTATCCAGTAAAAACAAGTGAATATCTGGTTACGAGGTAAAAAAACAGATAAATATTTATAAATCTTTTAATTTATCATTTAATCATAATAAATGTTCATTAAAGAGTCTCTTAATTTATTATTGTAGATTTAAGAAGGTCATTTGTATACAAGTGTATAATAATTCATATATTTTATTTTTTGAAATTAATATAAAAAATAGAATATTGAAATTATAAAGTGAATTATTTAGAAAAGAAAAGCACAAATGTGAATGGACCACTCATTTCAAAGGCAATAATGCTCAATCTACTCTATATACAACCAAACAAAATCATTAATTAATTAATTGATTAAAAATGGACCACTCATTTTCACATTTATAATTATGGTCATATCTTCTTATCAATTATTTCTTCCTAAACCAATATTTGCATACTTAAATAATAATATTATATATTTTTATTTATATTTATATCAGAATCATGTCAAATCATACATTAAAAATGTAAAAAATAAATCTTGATGTTGATGTTGATGTCTTTCTCCTGGTAGCTGCTTGAATTAGAGTAAGTGGCTAGTAAGACCAAGGAGTTAGCCACTTTTCGGGTGAGAGGAAAAGTAGACCTGGCTAAACGGCTTTGGAAGAAAGAAAGGCATAGAGCTTTGAAATGGTTAATTCAGAGCCAGGGTGGGAACCCAATCGTGTGTCGTATCCTGCACAAGAGGAAATCCTGTTCATTTTCATAAATTTCTATCAGATGAATTCATAGCTTAAGATTTCAACACTTTACCATTAAACGTCGTTTCTTCATTCTATTTAGGCATGGGCTTTGTTCTAGAAGCTACTGCTTCCACCTCTCTAGGTTCTGCTATCGCCAATGATTGGTATATGAGTCTCTCTATGTAGTGATCCGCCTTCTAGAAGCTTCGCATGAGAGAAGAAAATTAGTAGGTATGAATGCATTTAACAATATACAAGGGTGAATTTAATTCACTATTTTGCTAAATACACCATACCTACTAATTTCCTCATCATACACATCAACATCAACACTAAAGTTGATCGGTTTGTGGGCTTAGGCCTAGTCTAACCTAACCTTATTTTCTTGTTTAACGGGCTTAATATAACAAACTCGAGCCCCTTTTTTTTTACGGACATGAAAGCTTGCCCATACCCTCCCTATAAACAGGCCATGGTTGCCCACGGGATAACAGGCCTAAAATCCTTTTATATTTTTAAGAAAACAAAATTTATATAAAACACATGTTATGTAAAATAATTCAAAATATATAACAATATTTTCAATTTAAAATTAAAATTGTTTCGCAAAAAATGAAGAATCGATAACGGAAATGACCGAACAAGATAATAAGAAATAGATCAATTGTGATAATTATGTTTTTATTTTGTAAATTTAAAAAAATGTTATTATAATAAGTCATATTTAAGTAAAATTGATGAATATCAAGAATTTCCTATTTTAATTATAGAAATTAATTATTATAAAAATATTAATAGGCAGGAAGCTCTGTCCAAGTTTTTTTTTGCATCGCCAATTAATTTTAACAGTCAATTCTAAGTCTGCTTATTTTATCAAGAATGACAGTCCAAGACTGTTTTTTCTAACGAATCTTTGTCGTCCCATGAATAACCCTAATCAAGACTTACTTTTTGTGGGTATATATAGATTGGGTAATGTTATATGCAACATTTAATGTCAGAATCAAGTCAAATCATGTATTAAAAATATTAATGTGTGCGAGGAAGTAAATTCATAAATAGGGATGCATTTAGCCCAACTCATGTATAGATCACCCTTATTATTAGGGGTGCTCAAAAACCCGACCAACCCAACCCAACCCGAAGCAATCCGATGTCTAATCGAGTTGTAAAATTGTCAAACCGTAGGTATTGAGTTGATATTGAGTTACTATTATTTGAACTCAACCCAACTCGATGAACCCGATATCATTTTATTTCTTCGATTTAATATGATTATTGAATTTCTATTAATATATATATATATATTAGACAAGTACAATATCATGTATGCTTTTCATATATACACATATTTTCAATCTATTCACATATCTATATAACTCATTCGTATATATGTTCAGTAACTGTGAACATATATATGTAAATTGAGAAAATTAACTGAATGTGATATACGTAAGAAATATGGATAAGTTGTATCAAATAATTGATGATGAAAAAGAAATTATGAGTAGAGAATAACATATTCAAGATTAGAAGAATATTTTAATGTACTAAAGTATCAACCCGTACGGGTTGGGTTGCACTTTGGTTTGGGTTGGGTTAAGATTTTTCAAATCGCAAACATTGGGTTGAGTTGTTCAAATGTCTTCAACCCGATCAACCCAACCCATGAGCACCACTACTTATTATCACTGTGAATGATCATGTGAAAAGTGTAATAAGAAATATGATCACTTTTAATCTTAAACCTACCTTTGAATCGTGTTTGATATGGATATTAATCCGATACATCTCATGCTAATATACATTCAAAGATGGAAATCTGTTTTTATGTTTTTCACTTTAACTCTACCAACACTATTATTACAAGACGAATGAATCATAGGTTAAAATAAATAAAAAGTAAAAAAAATTAATCAAAACTTTATAATATATTAATTATTTTTGAGCGTGCAATGTGCATGAATTCTCTTTTTCTTTTTCTTTTTTACAGTCATCACTGAAGCACCTTTTGTGGGTGTTTGTCTTCACGTGATCCCTTCTTCTTTACCCTCGATACCCCCATCTCTCAATCCATACTCCAAGGTTCTAGGTTTATAAATTCAAGAATATATACATATATATATATATATATATATATATATATATATATAAATTATATAAAAAAATAATGTATTTTAACTTAATTTCTATTTTGGGTAACACACTTTCAAAACTTTTATTTCGATATCGAAAATGTAAAATTTTAAAAATTTAAATACCTAGATAACTGATTGAAGTATTAATTAGTTATTATGTTAATATGATGAATGATATAATATCCAACTCAATATTATTTACTATTCAACCTAATTTTATACTATATTTTTTGTATTGGTATTTTACAGATGAAATAAAAGAGTAAAAAAACCACCTCTATAGATATTATATAGATATATATAGTTTCAAGATCGGAGGTATTTCAGATCTGCACATCTTTCTTCATCAACAATAATGCCCCCACCACAACCACCACCGGAGCTGCCGTCTCTCCTCCTAATACTGTCTTTCATCTTCCATTTGGTTACAGTCTCAGCTCACACCTGCGCACGAGCTCCGCCGTGTCCACCATTCACCACCACTGCACCACCATTCCCTTTCTCCAACTCCCCTGGTTGCGGCCACCCTTCTTTCCAAATCCAATGCCCCTCTCCACCACTTCCGGCCACCATATCCATCAACAACCACCACTTCTTTCTCCTCCACTATGACCCCACCTCCACTTCCCTCTCCCTCCACCCCACCACCACCTCCACCACCACCACTACTAATTGCACCACCACTCACTCACTCTCCACCATCCCAACTCAACCCATTAATTTCTCCAACTCACCGTTCCAACCCACCGATTCTTTCTGCTCTCGTCTCTCCTACCTCCGCCCTTGCCTGCCCCCAACCCTCCCAAACTGCAGCCATTGTCCATGGGAATGCAAAATTACCAAAAACCCACTTCAGATTATCCATTCTTGTGGATCTATTCATCCTCCACAACTCTCGAAAGAAGGCTGCCAATACGACATTTTAGGGTTTCTTGATAGTTTCTTGAAATTTGGAATTGAAGTTGAATGGGAAGAAAAAGATTCTTACTTTTCAAACTGCACAGCTTGCAAATCCATCAATGGCGTTTGTGGGTTCAATTCATCTGACCCAAATAAACCATTTTTATGCTTTCAACCCTCAATCCAACCTCAAAAATCATCACCGGAGGTTAGAAAACCCAAATTACGAGTAGCAATGATGTCTTTAGCTGTATTATTTCTATGTTTTCTACTGTTTATCTTGATAAGTACATACATTTCTAGAAGAAAAAGAAAGAACTCACCTTTAGAAGATCCAGCGGTTATTTACCTCCACCGCCATCGCTCCGCCAGCCTCCTCCCGCCGGTGTTCACCTTCGATGAGCTTCAATCATCGACAAACAACTTCGACCCGAACCGGAAAATCGGAGACGGAGGTTTCGGGTCGGTTTACGTTGCTCATCTTGAAGGAAACCGAACCTATGCTGTCAAGTATCTACACAAACAAAATCCCACCTCAAATTCATTCTCAACGAAGTCTTTTTGCAATGAAATCTTGATTTTATCTTCGTTAAACCACCCAAATCTCGTGAAACTTCATGGGTATTGTAGCGATCCGAGAGGGTTACTATTGGTTTATGAGTATGTACCCAATGGGACTCTATCGGATCATTTGCACGTTTACAAGAAACAGTGTTTGACGTGGCAAACACGAATTGATATCGCGTTACAGATCGCGTTGGCGATCGAGTATCTTCATTTTTCAGTGGTGCCCCCAATTGTTCATAGAGACATTACGTCGAACAACATATTTGCGGATAAAGATATGCGCGTTCGGGTTGGGGATTTCGGACTATCGAGGCTGTTGGATCCGGGTTGTGTGTGGACGGGTCCTCAGGGAACACCCGGGTACTTGGATCCAGATTATTACCGGTCGTTCCGGCTGACGGAAAAGAGCGATATCTACAGTTTTGGGGTGGTTTTGTTGGAACTGGTGACGGGGATGAGGGCGGTGGATGGGCGGAGGGATAAGAGGGAGATGGCGTTGGCTGACATGGCGGTGGCGAGGATACAAATGGGGTTGTTGGGGGAGGTGATTGATCCGCGGTTGGCGGCGGTGGATGGTGGTGGTGTGGCGGCGGTGGCGGAGCTGTCATTTCGTTGTGTAGCGGCGGATAAGGATGATAGGCCGGATGCGAGGGAAGTGGTGGCGGAGTTGCGGCGGATTAAGGGGCGTACACGTGGTGGTGGCACGGCGGTGAGGGCGGCGAATTCGAGCAATGTGGTGGTTCCAGATGGTGGGCCGATGATGGTGGATTGAGTTTGGAGGTCCGAGGAGCACACCGGAAACGGAATGCCGGTTTTTTGTAATTTGTTTTGATATATATTTATTTTCTTTTTATTATTTACTGCTTAATTAATATATAAAAAAAATAAAATTCAAATCCAAATTATAAAACATGTGAACATGGTACCATATTTGTGATGCAAAATTTTATATCATATGCCAACAAATTTTGCGGTTGGTATAATATGATATTGTATTAACGTAGTAAAAATTGAAGTTAAAAATTTATTTAAATTGACATTTTTAAGAGGTAACCTCTGAATTATTAAGAGGTGAATTTGGTGAATTTTTTTTGGCAAAAAAAAAATTTGTTTTTAGGTAGCGTTTGGTACGCGATATAATTAGACAAGACTGAACAGAACAAAACTGGACAGAACGGGACAAGAGGGTAGGACTGAACTGGACATAACATGAGTATGTTTGATGTTTTGTACGACTAGGATTGGATGAGACAGAACTAGACAAGTTACCCCCAAAGTTATTTGATGATTTTAAATATTATATAATAGTTATAATTAACACAAATAAAGTAAATAATTAAAGAATTTTATTTATAAATATTTGTACATAATTTTCATATTTGTACCAAATTTGAATAAATTTTTTGATAGAATTGATGGTAGTAGTGGTGATGGCCATTAAAACAAATATCATATTAAGATTATATATCAAACTAGAGTAGATTAGTAATATTTTAGTTTCTGTCTTATTCTTGTCTCATCTTGTTCCACTTATTTTGGTGGAACAAAAAAAAAACCTCTTTTGTCTCATGCTGTCCCACCTTATCTCAGTTTTTGTCCCTGTCCCATGTCGTGCCAAACGTGAGATAGTGAGTTCTTGTTCTGTCCCATGCTACGCTAAACATGTGATAGTGAGTTTTGTCTCGTCCTATCATGTCCCGTCCCATATACCAAACGCAGCCTTAATGGACCGTGTGCACGAGTTGTAAAAGCATTTAACATTTTTTTAAGGATAAAATGTATGAAATAGCAATTTACTTTTACAAATTTTCTTATTATAGCATTCTATTTTTACTTTTTCTTATTACAATAATATATTTTCAAAATATTTTTTATTAGGAAATTGTACTTTCAAAAATTTACTCGTTAAAGCATTGAGATAACCTTTTAAATTAAATTCACACGTTATACTAGAGTTTTTTGCCACCTCCTCGTCCACACAAGTTGTCTACATGTACGATAATGTTGACATAACATTTTTAATTATAACATTGTACATTTAAAATTATTTTATTATAACATCACCAATTTTTATTACATCATTGTACTTTTAATTTTAATATTTTTTTATCATTTAAACATTGTAAATTTAATCAAATATGTTTACTAAAAAATATAATATTAAATTGTATTGGTAATGCTTGTATGTGTTAGCTATTTTGATTTGTTTGCAGAGTTTTAAGAAAGAGTGTTTTTTATTTAAAATATAATATTTAATTTAACAAAAAAACTTACATAATGATTAAAAAAAGACTAAATTCACGTATTGTTTGATATATTATTGTAAATATGTTAATGCTTAAAAAAGTTATCGATTTGAGTGTCTTTTGCCTTTTATAATATGTCAAAAAAAAAAAAAAAAAAACGATATTATAATCTCAAATAATATTTATCATAATTTTTAATAAAAATAGTTGGTTAAATTTACAATGTTTAAATGATAAAAATATTAGAATTAAAAATACAATGTTGTAATAAAAATTGATGATGTTATGATAAAGTAAATTTGAAAGTACAATGTTATGATAAAAAAAATGTCATGTCAGCACTATCGTACATGTGAACAGTCTACTGAATGATAAGGTGACAAAAAAACCTGGAATAATGAGTAAATTTAATTTAAAAGGTTGTTCAATGCTACAATGAGTAAATTTTTGAAAGTACAGTATACTATAATAGAAAATATTTTGAAAGTACATTATTGTAATAAAAAAAACTGAAAATGAAATGTTATAATAATTTTCTTTGTAAAAGTAGGTTGTTATTTAATATATTTTATTATTTTTAATTAAAAAGATGAAAATATCTTGAATTTAGTTGGTAATCGAAGTAAAACCAGAAAGGCGGAAGAATGGACCTAAAATAAATGAAAAAAGAGGTCCTACCGGGATTCGAACCCAGGTCGCTGGATTCAAAGTCCAGAGTGCTAACCACTACACCATAGAACCCATTTGTTTATTAATTCTTATTTTTATCAATAAAGACGATATCCAGTTGAAATGTCTTTTTTTGGGGGCGGGAGCAGGGGAGGCGGGGACTCGATTGAATGGGAAAACAAGAGCGTAATTACCTTTTTTTTAAAATTAACCTATTTAACTAAATTTATTGAATTCAAGTATATTGATATATTTTTAAACGTGTTCTATGAGAAATTAATACCGTTTTATTAAAGAGTTTGTTAAATATAACTCGAGACATTAGAAAACTAACATGAATGTTTTAATTGTTTTTTTTTTTTTTTTAACCCTGCATTAAAAATGAAAGAGACATTGTTTCATTTAAAAGAGAACAAGCATTTACTTCTATTATATTATACACAAATGAAGTTACACTACTTAGCATCTACAAAATCACTTGGTGAAAATTAAAAGTCAATTGCACCATAGGTGCTAATGATGATAATTCCTTGGTTTGGTCAGAGGACTTTACATTTGAATGTTTTGAATGTTGTTCATCTGTAGTCAATAAAATACTGCATTTGAATGGAGAAGGTATTCCCATTTGGATATATAACCAAACCTTACATTTTAATATCTAGATTTAGTAATTGATACATTTCCACTAAAAAACATTACAAACAAAACAAAGATAGTCAATAGTCAATGGACCAAGTAGGCCTCCGGTGGCAACGACGTTGAGTGATATTAGCTCAACTGACAAAAAGGTTTAGGCATTTGGGAATTCTCCTCATTAGTCGAGATGTAGGCAAACTGACCCAGACATTCATGTTTAAAAAAAAAATGGAAAGACGTTTATGTTCAACATAGTATGACGATGTTGGATTGACTTTTGCAAAATAAAAAAATGTGACACTTTTGCCAATCAATAACCTGTCAACAGGCAATCAGAGTTGGTGATCTACCATACTGGTCCATGTTGATTATGAAATTTATTTATTTGAATCATGAGCCAACTTTGGCATTGTTTATAATGCAATTCATAATGAGACCAAAATAGGGACTATGAAAAGTTTCAAATATGTCCAGATATTTGCAAGGATTGGATTCCGATGAGAAGTAGAGTTAAAGGTGAAAAACGTAAGAGATTTTCATCCTTAAATGCAAATTGGAATGAGATGCACCAAGATTAGATTTACTGAGATGCACCGGACTAATCCACGTATCAAGCGTAATTCATGAGTAAGTTTGAGATTAAAGGCGATCAAGGGTCTGGATCCCTTCTTACGCTATCCTAACTCTCCTACTCACACGATCATTCACTATATTAACAAATCCTATGATATGGTCCAATCAGTTCTTGTTACTCTCAACTGATATGGTTCCATCTTAAGGCTTGTTTGTTAACCATTTAATGAGCTTAATGGAACTCACATCTCACTCAATCAGCTATACATGACTGTTTGGTAGTGGCTTAATAATACAGAAAGTGGCTTATTTGGTAACCTTCTAGAGAGAGCTTTATGCAAAAAGTAAAAGTTTTTCTTTTTTCAAACATGCTCCTTCCAATTAAAAAGCACGATCCTTCCATCTATGAAAAACCGTCTCTATCTATGCTGACAAATTAATCCACACAGTCAGCTTTATCCTACATGATTTAATGGAAAACCAACCAAACAACCCCTGGATTACCCTCGGCTAGACTTTGAAACCTCCTTTTCTTTTCTCAAGACCGAGGGTATCTAAGGGTTCCACATATTCTCACATGTATCAGGGTTAGATTTACCACTCCAGAGACTCAAAACACTTTTGAGTCATTAAGAGATGAGGCTAACAAAAGGACACATGATTGGGGCAAGTCATAAACTAGTTTTCATTAAACAATACGGGATCTTGACTTAACGTTAACATGTGATAATTCATGTAATCGATTTCGTTTAACCTTACACAACATAATATCTGCTCCGGCAGCTCCTCTTGTTTGTTTCCCTGTTAAAAAGAAAGTTACTGATAAATTTTTAGCAAGAAAGACAAAATTACATTTTAAAAAAATACGCATGTGATTACCGAGTGATTGACTTTTAAACCCTCCGTGTTGATTAACATATGTTTGTTTCATAAAGTGTTGTTTTCTTATGTATTATGTTCACAAAATTGAAACTTTTTTACGTGTACTTTTTGTTTTGCAAACACGCCAAAAAGCATATGAAACAAATATATGTTAATCACTATATCAAATTGTAGCCATTGATGGAAAAAGATCATATGAAATAGCACATGATGCACTAGTTCTCAAGGATCTCACAATTTAGAGAGTTCTCAAAAGAAGGTCCCCTGTTCATAGAATAAACACGAAATGCATACTCGAGTTCATTGGAAATAGAAGGACTTGCCTGAATTGTGAGACCAAAATCCAAGATGCAGTTCTTTAGTCTTTCCTGGAACACTTCGAATCCTTTCCTGGAAATGTAACTAAATCTGTGCATATCCAAATCAATCTCAAAGTAGTTTTCTCCCTGAAATTGTTTAGAAGTGTTAAATAATTGAACCAAGAATAGAGCCCTAGTGAGTATGATACTGCCTCCATTTTAAAAAAAGTCAAGAGTCAACATTTAACGTTTGAAGTGTAATAGAGTTGTATTTTATCTTACAAAAAATGATACATTTATCACAAATAATTGATAATTACATGTAAGAACATAGAAATATTGAGATAGAAACATTTTGCAGAAAAGAAACTAAAGAAGTCCATGGTAAACATGGCAAATCTGAATTTAAAACCCGCTCTCTCTACCATTGTCTCACGAAAATTGCAATAATAGAAGCGTTTAACTATTTGTCAAATCTAAGGACGTGCCCCAGACCAGAGGGTGTTCTAATATGAGATATGGAATAAGGCCCCCAATTTTTTTGGGGCCCAATTATATATCTTTTGTCCTTTAGCCTTTTTATACATGTTTAGCCCAATTATAAGTTTTTACCCAACTTTAATGTTATAGTCTTTTACTCTTTTAGTTGATTTGTCGATTCCTGATTCTGACTTTTGTAAAATGTTAGAAGAGTGATTCTATTTAAGTGAATTTCACATATTACGTTGTCGTTTTATGATATTTTTGGTTTTAATTTGTAAGGCTTTTAATGTAATATATGATGTGAATTTGTTCTATTTTGTTCTATTTATCACTCATCTACTCTATCTATAGTTTTGGTACAAGTTAATCATATAGTTTTGGTACAAGTTAATCAGGACCTCCAAAAAAATTGGAACGCGCCAAGTCAAATTCCTTTCCTAAATTGCGACAAATCAATAGCATAAACTTTTTGTGATGGTGAAAATGGGTAAATAGGCCACCTTAACTTATAAAAAACTTCCCAAAATATAATGTGGCAATCTTCATGAGAATTCATAATGAAACACGTAACAATTTTCTTAGGACAGATAGAGCAAGATGTTCGAAGATTTGAGATTAGAAGTGGGCACCTTTTGGGATGGTGGAGTTGTTATAAACAGAACCATTTTTTTAATTTCTTTCAGTAATATATTAACCCCATTACATGCATGAGAAAATGCAATATATTCGCCATCGCTAAGAAACTTACTTGGTAAAATTCATGTTGTGGACGTGAAAGTACGGGCTTTTCGTTGTAAGCATGCATAATCTTCCTCTCTGGCGCACTTAATTGAAGGTCGTCCACATTTACAACACGGCCTAATATCTTTAACCTTTCTCGAAATGGAACCAGTGTATCTACGGGGAACCCTTTGACTTTTTCTATCTCGTCATTGAATATTCTCTGTTTCAAACCAACTAAATAAATAAGTTGATATGAATGGATAGGCATTATAGTAGACATACAAAACTGAAGTATGTGATAGCCATGTTTCTGCAATGATATAAATGCTGCTTCTTACCCTCATGTTGTCTTGAAATTGGGATGAAAATTCCTTAGTGTAACTATCAGAAAGCTTGAAGTACAAAATGTAACTCATCCCTTCACCATCAATTTCGCCTTGGAAAAAGGCAGCAGGATATAATGGAATCTGTAAAACCATACAAAAAGTATGTCACTGCAATGGGTATGGTAGAGTTATTATCAAAAACGAAATATAAAGGGAAATCATAAAAATCACTCAAGGCAGTACAACCTAGTTAGTAATAATAGAGAATTGTTATTTGTTAAGGTTCTTTCATGTGTCTCGGCCTTTCAGGTTATGAAAATAATACCCTCACTCATATGTGGCTGCTATGCTTAAAAGCAAATTAGACACTCCAAAGAGAAGTCCTCCATATGTATAGTTACAAATATTAGCAATGTTAATTGACACAGAATGAAATTCTAAGTGGTCATAAGTACCTGGATATTTACAATAAGGATTGGTGGAAGTTCTCCTGATGGACCAACAACAGGAAGTTCTATAAAACGGGCAATGTGATCGATTTTCCGTTGAGATAAAAAGACATCAACACCAAATGGGTAATAAGCCGCATAATTGGGTGCATGCTCCTTCCTTTTATCCCTGTAAATCCGACATGGTACGAGAAAAGTTCAATATTTTGAGATGAACTCTTATTAGCTGATCTCGTATAAAAACTACAAGCACATAGACAATCCATGTGTACATAAGTCCATTGTAATTCAGTTACCTGAAATAATTCTTCCCACGTACTCTGAAAGTTCTTGGTTCAACATATGACCAGGAATCAAACACTTTCTTCTCTGCTGGGCAGAAAGGTACTTGGGAACCACCTATCGGTCTTTCTAGATGATTCTTTGAAGAAACTAGGAAAATACCAAAACTAGTGTTAAGTTTTGGTGATTGGGTCAAAACACCTCACAAAATACAGAAAATGAATAACATCCTAAATACACAGATTGTTAGTTGATACGGTGATAGTAGAATGAAAAATGTGTAATGCCCTATAATGTGAATGAGCATCAATGCAGCATGACTGGCGCTACCTTGTCTCCTATCAAATCTCTACAAAATATAGTTTTGAGTAATGTGAAAAGGCGATCATCTAATCGTCATTTATGCTAGGACACTGTTAAATCATCCCACAGGCATGGGTAATTCTTTTTAACTTTTATTTAACGAGAGTGCATATGTATCATTCTAGCAAACTATATACTACTTCCAACAACTCATGGACAAGAGTAGACACGATAATAATGACACTGAGCTTATATCTATGAATCCACTTCCCTGTGTTAGTTGGCTTTGGCTTGGGCTAGAAAAATATCGTAAAACAGGGAAAATGTTATAAATAAATGAAAAAGAATAGATAAATGCGTTGGCCTGCACTTGCTTAAAATTTTAAAGCAACAATAATAGCCTTGAAGACATGGAAATAAGGGTGTCATTTCAAAATCATGAATTTAATTCTAATCTTCCTCCCCAATCTGATATTATGGGGATAGATGTAGATGAAAAAGAACCCCCCCCCCCCTAAGAACCTACACCATGATATTCAGATAAGTAAAAAGTTTATTTTCGATGATTTTTTCACACATTCCTTATGCTAGTTTATGCTTGTAGCGACCAAATGTTAGAAAGTTGAAGTCAGTACTCAGTAGTAAAGATACTCACACATAGCGGCGTTAGGATGTCCGTCCTTCAATTTTAAGGAAAGTTTATGTGCAGTCTTTTTCCTTGCACTTGGTGGGCTAGAGCTTAATGATCTTCTCTTCTCAACTGAGGGAACAGTAGTTGCAAGAAAAGGCAAACAGTTACCAGGAACTATTCCGCAGTCTAATAAACCATCCTCCCTTCCAGCACTGTCATTGATAGAAGAGGATATTTCATCAAGGTAAACAGGCCTTGTTTGATTAGAACGTCCATCAAATCTTGACCGGAAGTCCATGTCTTCTGGATGCACTGAGCTTCTACGCAGCTCACCATCTCCAAGATTAACATCTCTGAGAGAAGCAATGCTTGGCCTGGAGGCACCATCAGAGCTGTTTAGCGACAGCACATCTGCAAATATATGGACTCATAAGATGAAGACAAGCTCACATGCTGATGTAGAACGTAAATGGGTTTCTCAGTGATAAATTATGGATACCATCGAGAACGCTTCGGAAATCTTCATCACTGCAATCAGATTCAAGAATTGCAGCAGAATCATACCATGACTCATCAGTGCTCCCTGCTGACGCCAAAAGTAAAAAATCAGATAACTATAAGGAAGCCATAGAAGACGTATATTGTATATGTGGTATACTGGATACACATTATGACATTACAAAGTTTAGAAGAGGAAACTAATTGAATAGAGTTGAAAATAGTAACAAGGGACATCATTAAATAACTCACAATGCATAATGAAGTTAATTTGATTGGTAAAGGACCGCTGACTTTCACTTGATAATAACTATATGAAGCGCCCATCTTGGTGCAATGGGCATATTACTCAATGACATCCTGACCAAACAAACATTTCATGGAACACGAATCGCTATTTTCCCCTGTTTGAGAGCTACATGAACTTGCACATCGATTATTCCAAAACTGTTTACTCTGGCATAGCTTCATAGAGTTCCTAACATTAAAATGTATGTATATTGGATGCATAACTTTTATCATAAATGTGATATAGGTTCTATTTCTTAAATGTCCCTCCAACTTTGGCGATAATGGTAGCAATCGATATTTACATTAGCGCGTGTATCAATTTTTGAAAGTCATTGGAATTAGATTGTCCTATCTCCCTCAACCTTAGCCTCTACTGCCACTCTGCTTCGTAGGTCATGCTTTGGCATTAGGAAGAAACTGAGTTTACACCGACTGAATCAGTAACCAGGAAGTATAGAAAGCAGTACACAGGTTTGAATGGTCAATGGTCATTAAGTTGTATAGTAGTATTAAGTCGAATTTAATATACAACTTAATGACCACTGGCCTTTCAGGTAGAACACCATCAAAACTGTGGCAATGTAAAATTTCACAAAAAACTGGGAATTCCAACATACATCGACTCAACTGTTGAAAAGGATATTAATATTTCTTCAGCTTATAATCATATAAAAAGATCATGCACAACTAAATACTTCATAACTTAATCAAACAATCTCATCTAGAAAGCTGAATCAAAATGCGACAAAAATACAATCAAACACCAGAATTCGAGAACATTAGAAGCATGGTTCAATATCACAACTCTTAGTTAAAATTACGACTAAAAAGCTGAACCAAAATGCGACAAAAACACGATTAGAAGCATAGTTCGAGATCACAACTCTTAGTTAAAATTAAAAGTACTAAAACGGTTAAATGCTGATCAATAAAACCGTGAAAAGTAGTTAAAATAGTTGTTACCAGAGGGATCGAACTTTGATTGATCAGACAAAGAAGACGAACCACGCCGCTTCAGAACTTTCTTCCGCTTACTGAACTTCTTCTTCGATAACCTTATGCCGCCTCCGACGAAATTCTCCGGCGTCGACAGGCAAGCTCCCATTTCCTTCTACAGATATACCGATTACAACATTTCAATCGAGATCATGAAGAAATCAAAGTCGTCGAGCAGGCGTAAATCTACATGCATGTATGATTGTACGTGTAGATTTGAGAAAATTCTAGAAATTGTACAGAAGAGGGAAATCAACAGTCAAACTAAAGGCATCAGAGATTTCGATATGAAAGAGAAGACGGATTCTTTTGCCTCCAGTCCCTCGATATTTTATAACCATCGTCTAATTTTACATTTTTTTTCTAAATTATAAACTAAATTATTTTATCATAAACAATAACAAAATAATATATTTTTTATGTATTAATTTTTTATTTATCAAAACATATATAGTTTGATTAAATCAAAAAGACCAAAAGTTATACGAAACCTTGAAGCTAACAGTTAGGTAAACCACCAAATGGTCTTTGGTCTAGTGGTATCGTAGTATTTGATCTCCTAGGAAGTCCATGTTCAAACTTAATCAAAAGTGAGGAGGGTGTGTGAGTTTATTTGTTGCATTTGCCGTATATAAATATTATATACCTAAAAACAGTAAGGCAAACCTTCGGGAATTTTGAGAACATTCGACTTGATGGCAACCATAAGCAAGTCCAGTGTCTTACTATTTAAGGTACCCCAGTTGATTATAGATATCGACTGATCAAATAACTGATTGTTATAAGCATCGTACATAAAATTGAAATCTAGAGCATATTTTTACTGTTTGGAGTTGTAATAGTCATTTTTATTGAAGTTGAGTGTTAATAATTTTTAACAGTTTCAAAAGATTGGATAAATTAAAGATATATAAATTATTTTTAATATACCTTTGGGGTGAATTGTCTGATTTACGACATTTAATAAACTGACTCAATTACGAGGGTTTGAAAAATTTCAACTCAATCCAAACCATTGAAAAGTATCATCCAACTCAATTCAGCAGCCCTGTCAAGTTGGTTGGGTTAACGATATAATACACTGCATAAATTTCACGAAAAAAGAAATATCATTAGAAACTGTTCATTACTAAATTCGACACACACACACACACACACACACACATATATATATATATATATATATAACAAAATGAACGACTGACAGTTAATAAGGAAAGATCAAGCAATGTAAGCAATCGGTCATTATATAACTAGAATATACCCAATTGGTTAGTGATGTTTATGCACTATGGTGGTTAGTTGAATACTGAGTAGATGTCAGATAAAACCAACTGAACTGAACACAATGTCATTAAGTCCATCCCTACCTAGTCATATGTTCGATAATAACAAACTATCATACAAAATCGTTCGACAACAATAAACCATTGATCATTTAATTAACAATGCTTCTTAATAGCAAGTAGATATGATATTAAGCCCCTAATTTTTGTCTCAATATGCCAAGTATCCTTATAAAGTTGTAGTTTCAAAAACATGATTTTGTTTCCTTAAACCGTACCTTATAATGTGTGTACAATTATATAATTTACATTATTAGGGGGTATTTGGTTCAGACAAAGAAATAAAAATGGGTACAAAAATGAAAATGACAGAGAATGAAAATGAGAATTAATTTTCATTCCACTCAGTTTAATCTAGGATGAAAATTTGGGCTTCTAAAGGGATGAACCCATTATATTATAAAAAAATCAAACAGTTTCTTTTATTTCTATTCTCATTAATTATTGCTTAATACTTATTACTGAACACCCTTTAATTTTGGGTATATTATTGGTAGGTTTCTTGTTTGTTTGAATTGTGTATAGCCTTGTATGAACCATATTTTTTAGGGGTGGGCTAAATGCACCCCTATGCATTGCTTAATGCACCTCTATCCATGAATTTCTTCCTCACACACATCAACATCAATACATGTTTTTTATATTCCCAATGCTTGAATGACCCGATTCTGACATGAATGAGGGGTGCCATTAGGACTCCCCATTTTTTAATGAAAGGTTGACCAATAAATTAAAACCAAAAAGAAATAAGGAGATAAAAAGTTTATGTAAGACTAATAAGAAACAACAAAACAATAACAAAAAGCACCAACATAGAACAAAACATCTAAATCTGACAAGAGTATGCAAACAAAACATGCAATAATAATAGATGATTATTGTAACATTTCACATTATTCATATCAGATATTGTTTGTTTTGTCTACATATATGAATTTATGGTTTTAAAATACGTCTGATAAAGGAGGTATCAAATCCCTTATAAGACAACATTTGTTCTCCTTTTCAACCACTGTGGGATCTTACAATCCATCCCCCCGGGAGCCTAGCTGTTTTTTCAATTTAATTATTTTATTAAATAAGCATAATAAAGACTGAGAATTTTAGCCAGTAAGTAATGATGATGACTCTTATCTGGTAAGTGTTTATTAAATTATAGACGTTTACCATCAACCAATTTTGATGACAAATAAAAAAGTAAAAATGTGGCTCTTGTCAGTAAATCTTTGATAAATAGTTGTTTATTTATCTCTTAATAGTTCCATTAAGAGGTAACATTTGAATCGTTAAGAGTTGAATCTTGTTTGGTAAAAAAATATATATCTTTCAATGGTTCTAAAGCTTTCTGAATAATTTTGTATCATGGATCCCTCTTAACCATTTAATATCATAATTTCATTGTAAGCAATTATCAAATAATTATATTCTATTTTTTATTATATCATGAAAATCTGTTAATTAAGACTTAATCATGGTGTATTAAATCATTAAAAATTTATTATTTTTAAATATAAAATACAAATAAACAGTAAACGTGGCACGTGGCACAAATATTATCTGTCCAGGCGTGAACGTGTGTTGGTGTGTCTGGTGGGGATCACGGTTCCACTTATTTTTGTTTTACTTTTTTCTCTTTTATATAATTGTCAATTTTTTCCATTTATATATTTGAATACTATAAAGGTAGTTGTGCAATGCAATAAAATACATCTTTATTTTAGTATTTTAGTTTATTTTTTTGTCTATGTTGATATAACAAGGTTTATGCAACTTTGAGAAATATATTGTTTTTGCTTTTGAATAAAACTAAATTTAAATATATCATACAATTTTGAAAAAAATAAATCGATGTTAATATCACAATTAATTATTTAAAAGTTCTCGTTTTTTGTATAATTTTTATTTAACTCAATTTTTTATTATAATTTAATTTAAGTTTAATAGCAAAGTAATATATTATGACTTAACAATATAAATTTTATAAAGATAATAATTCTGTTAGAACTCAATAATTATTTTAATTATATTTTAGATTTAAAATGAGATTTTTATTCTATATTTGATTATGTTTATCTACAGTTAGTTATACGAATTCAAAAATGAATGTTTATTAAGTTGTACTTATGTCAAATTTACTTGTAATCTTAAATTATAATAAATATGCATTAATAAACAGTACTTCATGCATAAGTAATAGTTCTTAAGAGTTTTTGTCAAATGCTTTATAATATAGTATAGATTTAATCATTAAATAAATGTTTAGTTGTAAATACGTTTTTCGTTGTAAATTAGAAGACAACTGAGAGTGCAACACGAGTCACACATTTGTTCCCCTTCATATGAATATAAAAGTAAATTTTCACAACATATGTTGGAACCTTAGAGATAATAAAAACTCTATTTTCTTTATTTTAGAGAATCTGTTAGAGATGTTTTATCTATTTTAACATACGTCATAGCATAGCATATCAGTTTGAGCAAGAATATATCGTAAATCTTTAAAATCTCTATTTTAATATAGTTAATAGAGATGATTTAAATTTTATAAATTCATCGGAACAACTTGTTATAATGGATTCAGAGGCTATTTGACAGTTGTTGAATGGTTTGATGCAGAATGATTAAGATACTCTCATGATATAGTACAAAATGAAATATAATTATTTGATAATTGTTTACAATGAAATTAGGGCGCTGAATGGTTAAGCGATGCCCATGATATAAAACCATTCAAAGGATTTTAGAACTATTATGAGGCATAATTTTTTTTTCAAACAAAATTCACTTTTTAACCATTCAAATGTTGCTTATTTATAAAACTATTAAGAAGTAATCAAATAAATCCTAGATAATATATTTAAAAAACCAAATATTAATTGTCACTTGAAGTTGAATAGTTTGTGTCATAAAAAGTAGAGTGTATTGTAATTGTCTCAGCTGTCTGTCACCAAAATCTTTACCCCACTACTTTCTCCTTTTGTTTCGAATTGTAGACAACGACTCTTTTAGGAACAGTCAACATATATAAAATATTATATATATATATATATATATATATATATGACTGAGTTTATGTGAGACCAAAAATTTTTCATGAGACCCGTAAGATCAATTTATGTTCATTGATCAACTTTATAAACTACTGATTTAATGATCTAGAATTGTATAGTGACAATTTTATGATTATTGAGAAGTCTCGTGGCAATTTTGTGATTATGAATAAAATATAAATTTAAAGAATTCATAAAAATTTAAAAAATATATATCGATTTTAGTATTATCGAATTAATTATTTAAAAGTTATCATTTATCTGTAATTTTTTTAATTCAATTTTTTTTTTATTATAATTTTTGTAGAACTTCATGCTTATCTTAATTATATTTTAGAATTTTCTATATTTAAAATGATATGTTTATCATGTATTTAATTATGTTTATCTATAGTTAGTTACAAAATTCAAACATGAAGTTTTAATCAATTGTACTTATACACAATCTACGTGTAATCTCAAATTTTAAATAATATACATCAATAAACAGTATTTTATGCATAAAAGTATAGATATAGATAATCAATATCATACTTTTAATTTTTTAATTTTCTTGTTATTTTATAAATGAATAATATTAACATATTATTTTAGGTGAGAAAAACCAGTAACCACATCAAAATTCGAAAGTCTGAGTCTAAAGTCTAAACCACCATTTACCAACCAAATTTTGGTAAGAAAAGTGCATTTCATTCTATGTTTGTGAAGAAACATATAATAGATTATTAGTTGTTATACAATATAAATATACTTAATAATCCAGACTATATTATAAAATATTTGATAAAAAATATTAAAAATTATTTTTGATGTATAAATTACGTTATTGATGTATATTACTTAAAATTTATGATTAAAAGTAAATTGTGTGTATATACAGCTTATCAAAACTCTATTTTTGAATTCGTGTAATTAACTGCAGATAAATACAATCAAACACCGGATAAACACCTAATTTTAAGTATAAACATAATCAAATATATAATAAATATCTCATATAAATATAAAAAAATTTAAAATATACACTTAAGGTAGTCATTGAGTTCTAACATAATACTTAATTCTTGTTTTTATAGAAGATAATATTATTAAATCAAAAATAAATTATTTTGTTATTAAACTTAAATTAAATCATAATAAAAATTTTAATTAAATAAATTACACAAAAAACGAAAACTTTTAAATAGTTAATTTGATACTAATATCAACATTTTTTTCTTAATTTTTACGATATCTTAAAATTTACATTTCATTCAAAAATAAAAAAAACATTATCGATTTCTCAAAACCACATAAAATCGTATTATATCGATAGAGACAAAGAATAAAACGAAACATTATAATCGAGATGTATTTCACTACATTAATATAGATTTATGAGTAAGGTAAAAATCTTGGTCCATAATGTTTGTAATTTTTAGCGGATGTTGTTCTTAACTTTCAAAAACCCAGATTTAATCTTTTCACATTTGTTAATTTTCACCGGTTTTGATTCTTTTATTTAATCGTCGTTGATTTTTTTTCCTGTTAAGTCCAATTAAATTAAGGGTATTTTAGTCATTTTCATTAATTCTTAATTTTATATTAAAATTAAAAAATATATTATATTTTTATTTTAAATTATAAAACAAAAAATGGTTTTGAGTAATATTTCAAAACAAAAAAATTGTATTTTCATTGAAAAATAAATACTCTTATCATTTAATGGGGTTTTCAATCTATAAGTGGTGGAGTTAAATTACCCTTATACCCTTATACCTTATTGGGTATTGACAATACATGAAGTACTTATTCTGAAATGTCAATAACAATTTATTGCAAATAAATGCATTGTTGGATTGACTCATGGTTTAATCTATAACTTAGAATGGAAAAAATAGGTGTTAACCCTTTGGCTTGTCACGTAAGAATAAGGTTTAAGTATTGTTGGTGGTTGTTGAATGGTTTGGTACAAAATAAGTAAGTGATTAGAATGATTAGGAGATTTCTATGATATAGTGCAAAATGAAATATAATTGTTTGGTAATTGTTTATGATAAAATTAGGGCACGGAATAGTTAAGGCCAAGAGAGGCTTATGATATAAAATCATTCAGAAGATTTTAGAACTATTAAGAGGCAATTTTTTTTTTACCAAACAAGATTCGCCTCTTAACTATTCAGAGCTTGCCTCTTAATTGAACTATTAAGAGGTAAACAAACAACCTCTTAAGTGATGTAGTGGAAATTTTATCTTTTCTAGGTTTGAATCCTGTTATAGCTTTTTTGTAGTTATTGAAAGGGTATTCGTACAATGCAGGAAGATACATATCTATTTTAATGTTTTGTTTTTTTAATATATATATTTATCGATGTTATAATAGGGTTTTATATGGTTTTGAGAAATCGATAATGTTTTTATGTTTGAATAAAATATAAATTTGAAAAAATCTCATAAAAGTATAAAAAGTTTATCGATATTAGTATCAAAATAACTATTTAAAAGTTTTTGTTTTTTGGTGTAATTTGGTTAATTCATTTTTTTTAATTATCTAATGGTAATGTATAGAAATATATATATTTTTATAAAATAATTTTGACTATTTAGATAATAAAAACACTACATGAGAAAACAAAATATAGTAGATATAAAAAATTGTAATTAAAAATACCTGAAAACACCAAAGTTTTATTTCACGCAATGAAATAATACAATAACATTAAAGTAAACAAATTTAATGTTGTTTGACTATGTGAAAACAAAACAAAGTTGATATAAAAGTGAAAGTAAAACACAAAAGTGATATTTCATACTATGTAACAACGTAACGTCCCTAATCTTAAACAATATATTGTTGTTTCACAAGGTGAAACAATATATGTTGTTTTACAATTTGAAAACAAAATAAAACAAAAGTTGACGTGAAATGAGATGTGAAACGATAAACTGCTGTTTCATATAGTGAAACAGTGTAGTTATGTTTCACAGGGTGAAACAATGTAGTTATGTTTCACATGGTGTAAGAGAGATTAAGCTTGTGTATCATGCGTGTAATCATATATAATATTAAAACTTCTCGTCTTCTCAAAAAATATTTAACTTATCGCATAATCTTTCCCGTCTCTCTATACATATACCAATACAACAAAAAATAAAAAAAAAATAAAAAATTAATGAAGAAAACAATATCCATAAATGAAGTGTGACAAAAGTAGCATGATTTTGAATCACATTATTCAACAAGAAAAATAGTACTCCTACATTATTTGGTACAACATGACAATTGTTCATATACATGATATGTCATTGGACCTACCTCCCCATGAATAACATTTTTTTAAGTAATAATTTATATACGGTAAATATAACAAATAAACTTATACACCCTCTTCATTTTTGATGAGATTTGAACCCATGATCTCCTAAGAAACCAAATGCTACGATACCGCTGGGCCAAAACCTTTGATCAATAATAATTACATTCGGCTTTTGAGGGCTATACGATGAAATAAAACTGGTGATTTTTCATCATATTCTATTGTTTATTAATACATTATTTCTAATAAATATTTAAAGACGGGAAGAGGGAAGGCATATTAAAGGGTATTAAAGAAAGGAAACATTAAGGGAATGTGGAAGGTGAAGCCGAAAATGAAGAAAAGAAGAAGATAACCGAGAGCGAGGAGGAGAAAATATGGAAGGGAAATCGGAAGAACCTAGTTGCCGCCCATGCTTCACGGGCGTGAAAGTCTACTTTGTGGGTGCAAAAAAAACACCTTAATTCATGTTGAAAGTTTTTGCCACGGTTTCACGGGCGTGAAGATTTCTTCACGATCATGAAACACTATTCCAGGAACCAGTGGCGGATCTAGGATTTTTGTCTACTGGGGTCACCTTTAAGGTAGACTAAAGGTCCGCAAAATCGTCCAATGTGTTTTTAACCTAATTACAACGTTTTCGAGGGATTTTTAAAGTTTTTTGGTTGATTTCGAGGGATTTTTTTAGTGTGTTTGTCGATTTCGAATAATTTTTTTGGTTTTTTTTTTATTGATTTCAATATTTTTTTTTTAGAGTAACGGTTTCGATTGAGGTTGGGGGCCCGTGGATAAATATAATGGGGGGAAGTGAAAGGTAAATCATGTAAAACCTAAATTTTAACCTAGGAATTTTTTTTTTTGAGTTTTTGACTAGGTCCCTTCCCCCCTCCTTTTTGCTACTGTGTCCGCCACTGCCAGGAACACCTTAATTTTCTACATTACTTTCACAGGCTTGAAAAATCTTTTCCTATGGGGTTTTTGGCTTGCATATTTAAACCCTTTTAGGTTTTCTTAGGGGAGGCCGTATCTATTTTTTTATAGGAATACGATATTAGCTCTCTCTCAACTCTTGGTCGGCTTTTACATTTCTTGGGGTATGAAGCTTAAGCCATTTGAGATCGATTCACATTCAGTTTTGAAACACTATATTTGATTATGTTTATATACAATTAGTTATACGAATTCAAAAATGAATCTTTAATAAGTTAACTTATGCACAATTTACTTGTAATCTTAAATTTTAAGTAATATGCATTAATATACAGTATTTCATGCATAAAAAAAGTTTTTAAGAGTTTTTGTCAAATGCTTTATAATATAGTATTAGATAGTTTGACACTAGTATTAATATATTTTTCCGGGTTATATGGGCCAAGTAGATTTGGGCTGGTTCGAAAACTAAAGATTCAGACAATCACGTATGGGTTTTTTTTTTCAATTTCTTTTTATCGGTGATCCTTTATTTGCTAATTAATGCTCTGAATAAGATGAGTTGTTTGTTAAATGAAAATTCTCTTCTAATTCGTTCATAAAGTATCTGAATTTGTTGATAGCCAAAGTTTCACCATCCGTTTCGATTGTTAAACGTTACAAGATTAAAATATGCGTCTTTTTGTAATCCCACCATTGTCATCTATTCATTTCTTCGATCTCGTTGATTCACAGCTTTTGTCGAAATGATTTGCTCGTTGCATGTGTTCTGATGCTCTGTTGTCGTTGTTTCTAGTCTTGTCATTGTTGGTGCTTTTCATACCTTATCATCTATGCTTATCGACATCATCGGTGCTTTTCGATTCTATGTCGTCGTTGTTGTGAATCGGGTACAATTGGTACTTTTTGAGTACATTTGTTTCTTTTGACACGTTTTTATTAAATATGATTATCTTTTAAATTATTTTCAAAAATCAAAACACTCTTGTTCTCGAGCGTTCGATGTAAATTTGATAGGTGGTCCCTTCATATAACCCCACATTTTCACGTACTGTATTTCGTTTATTACTTCAAAAGTCGGAACTCCCAAGCCCATACGTTTAAAATCTTTGTGATAAATGGATAACCCGTGGTGAGGTGGGGTGTTCGATCCCAAGGGTCGAAGATGTGCCAAACCGTTCTCTATCTAATCGTAGTCTAGAATGAAAGATTCTATATGATATGTCCAATGTGAATTGATCTAAAAAAATCCCTCGTTATTGCAGGATAGGGCGAAAGTTGCTCTGTCTTTGTATTCAACGAGTGAAGTCGATTTCAAGTTGGGTCAAATTAGTAAATGGATAGGGTTACTAGGTCCGTTAGCCGATTAGCAAGCGGTACTCGAGGAACAACACAATACGTTATTAGATTTAACATTACTGGTCAAAGCATTAGTTCTGTTTGTATCTCATAGAAATTCCCGAATCTGCTTATCCTCGTCTCCACACTACATGTTTTGTATTTCTTCATGTCTCGTTGTCTCCTTGTTTTTGGGCCTTTCGTTGTATTCCATCGTTTTTTTATCATCACTGATTTGGCTCAACCAGTGGTAGTGATTTTGCGAGGATAAGGATGCATATGACGATGGCGACGACATGGATCAAAATGAGCTACAATCCTTTTATTGCATTAAGGCCGATTTATAACAATGAAACATGACAAACCCATTCTCGCTTGAAAAATATTGTATTATCGTTGGTCAATGAAAATGTTAACGATATAACAATTCAAATAAAAAAGACTTAGGGGCTGTTTGATTGGTTATCCATTAAGTACTTTATGGGTAACGTTGTCTCTATGGATTAATCCTTCTTAACAAGTTGGGAGGGTTTCTGCTTAGGAGGATTTTTTCATAGATGAAAGAAGCGTGTTCTTTAATTGGGAAGCACATGTTTGGAAAAAAAACTTGACTTTCTGCATAAAATTCTCTCTGTAATCTTACTGAATAAACCATTTTTTACATTATTAAGTCACTACTAAACAACCATGTATAATTTACCTAATAGGTTTGTGAAAACGTCTGGACTTAATTATTCCCTGTAATAGTCATTAAAAATCTGATAAATAAAGGGACATTTTTGTCATTTTATCGATTTTTTTGTCTTTTAATTTAAAAATCAAAAAACCACAGGAAACAAAATCATATAATCAAACTTGATTGGTAAAATCAATAAAAATAACGAAAAATGTTCTTTATTTAACGGAATGTTTTATCAGACATTAGAGAGGATTTAAGTTCTGGTGATTTTTCAAACCATGACGGTTATATTGTAATTTCAAAAAATAAGAGGACAAAAAGTATTATTTTTACAAACCATAGGGACCATATTTGTAGTTTACGCTATATATTTTTTTGAACTGAAATACACACACGCTCATTTTAGGCGCGTGGATAATGTGATTTACGTTGAAAATCTTCTGGATTCTCACGCGCGATTCGGATGGTATTTTTCCGTTGGAAGCCTCAAATAACGAACACGACGAAATTGGGGCGAAATTTGAAATCCTATGTCAAAGGTCTTTTCCGTTTCTACAAGAATTCAACGAGATTTCTTGAAAGATTCTGGAAGTCACTGGGAAGAATCATTTATCTTATCGAAACATACATATAATTCTTTCTTGTGATTCAGTTTTTCATCAGAGTTTTCGGTCGATTCGATCGATTGCGATCGGATAAAGTGATGCCGGGAAGGAAGGGGGCATTTCGATCAAGAGTTAGCGGCGGAGATGCCAGCGGTTGTTCGTATCGGCTTCTCGATAGTGCTCCATCATCACGTACGATTCAACTTGGTCACGTTCACCCTCAGGCGCCAGGTCATCGCACCGTTTTCTGTAATGATCGTGAAGCAAACTATATCGCCAAATATCTGGTGTGTTTATATCATAGATACAAAAAATTACGTGCCCGAAAGTGCCATTATTTGGAAATAACTGTTTTCTGCACTTTATGTTATGATGATCTTTCAAAAATGGCGCTTGAATTATGACCAGGATTTCTTTTTTTCAATACATGTACCTTCGTAGTTCATAAACCTTTCTGATTTCTATCGGCACAACCCCTTTCTTACATGAAGTTCATCAAAAGTGCTATTTACCATTATTGCTTGTCTTAACTTAGCAGTCCAAGGGAATTTGTTGGGTGTCTGGAGTTGTTATCTTGCTATTAATGAACTTGACAGATTTTCTAGGATATTTACCATGCATTGTTATTGTAATTAGCATTTGGTGGTGTTCTTGGGGAGCATGATCTTTAACAAATTTGGTAATCTTAAATTTATTCGGTTGTGTGGTCTAGGGTTGTCTAAGATCAATAACTTTCAAGGTAGAATTTGTTTAGAGAAGTAACTTAGCTACATTGGAATACAGTTAAGTTGGATTTTTTGACAGGCATTGTGTGGCATCAATATTTGTATATTGAGAATATGCAGTAACTAGAAAATGTTTAAAGGTGAAAGGAGATTATAAGAGGAGGAAATGTTGATGATGAGTGATGACTGAGAAAGTATATTCTTTCTGGTGAATTGTATCTTGACAGTTGCCAGGTCTGAATGGGTTTTTTTGACAGGGTACATTGGACCTTTAGCATCATAAGATGTAGTTTAAAATGGTCTTATCAAGATCAATACAAGAGAGACTAGCTGGTTTTCGTTCATATAGATTACTATAAGTTACTTTTTTAGAAGTATATATATTTCTAGACACTGTTTAGAGTTTGGGTTTGTAGTTATGTCGACTATTTTTCCATTAAGCTAGCTTTTGCTAGCAACTTGGAAGACTCTGGCTTTTTTAAGGGAAGCAAGGAACTGAATCAAACACATGTGAGTTTAGGAGGATCAATTGTTGATATCCTATAGAACTGGCACTCCTCCGTCACACGAGATTTGTGAAGCCTGCTTCCACCTTATCCTTTGAGTTTGTATATTCATCAATGATCCCACGATAATGAAAGATGTCATTGCTAGATACTTCGTATTCAGATGTGCTTATCATGTCTTCCATTTTGCTGTGAACATCAATAAAACTGCACTTCATGAATCTTCTATTTTGGTCTGATTCAATCTAAAACCTTGGCATAATGGCATTTAAGGCGTTTCTCCATACCTAGAGCTTCAACATCCTTACTTTTATCAATCAACAATCGTTGGATAATTGGGTGGGAGAAAAGATGGAAGGTTTTCGTCTATGTGCTTGGAAAGAATGTAGATACTATGAGAGCTGACAGATATGTTTAGGATTGACTCTAGGTGTTTGAGCAATTTCTCATTAGGTTGTTTTGTTTGTAGTCATCACATGGGTGTCATCTCATTAGCCTTCTGCAAGTTGGATGGTCATGTCTGTAGTTACAAGCTGGTTCTTGTAGCTTTTATGCCAGCATTTTCTTGTCGTATGTGCTTGTTTGGTGGGTAGCTGTGATTTCTCTTGCGACGAGGGTGTTGGCTCTTTAAATGCACTGTATATATAGGAAACTATCCTTCCTGGAGACTTCTTTTTCTTCTACTTTCATTCCTCCCCTCTTTCAGGGTTTCCGAGTTCCCTTCATGCTTCTCGTTTATATATCCCCTCCCCCTCTTTGCAGGATGGTAGGTTGGGTGGCTTCAGACGAGTTTTCAGTTCTTCGCATTGTCCTAGTCATGAAATGCAATGTGAATTTCAGTTGATGTTGCCGTCCTCTTCTCTCCCACTAAGGGGATATTGGGTTTATATAGAATGCTAATTTTTCCGTTCCTCTTTCTGGGCAATGATATATAGTGTGGCTTTTAATTGATGCTCCGGTGAGTTAAGGGGGTCTATGATTTATACCATTGTAGTTGGGGGCACTATCATGTAACATGCAACCCTATTGCAGCAAATAAGTTAGGCTCATGTAAAGAGTAGGATGCTCTTTTCACACAGAAAACATGAGTATATTAACAAACATTATGATTGCTGTCATTTTCATATAAATTCTTCAATGCACTTGGTCTTTCCGTAAGCTGTATTGTAATGCTTATTTCATATGGTTTGATCAGGGAAATGCAGTATCAACAACGAAGTACAACCTTCTGACTTTTTTGCCAAAGGGGCTGTACGAACAGGTAAATCATTTTAAACATCCAATAAAGAAGTATGAAGTGGTCATACAATGAATGTCATAAACTTTTTTCAGTATTCATAAGATTCATTAACAATTCAATGTTATCTGCTTGCATGTTTTGTGCAAACTTGTAATGCCTAGAAGAATGCCCCTTCTTTACTCTCCATATCCATGTTGTTCATGCATATGCATAATTTACAATATCGAACATGTTTGAGAGGATCAAAAGGCTTTATTGTTGGTTGGAGGTGTAGTGGCAGGGTTAATTGAGAGTCAAATGGATTAATTTTCAACATATAAGATGATATGAGTTTATTATTTTTTGTGTAAAACATATAACTACATTAAACTTTATAAGTAGTAAAATTGTGCTAATAGTGTTAAGAACTCGTTATTTATGGGAAGTACTGTGTTTGATATTTAATTGTCAAGCATGGAGACATTTTTTGTTGACTCTCCACTAAGCGCTCCTTTACTGTTCTGAAGCTTTCTCATTACGCAATATGTCAACTAACAGAGCGTATGTTTATGCTGTGATGTGTTTGGTACAAAGTAATGGTTCAGGAATGAGATGGATCATTCCATCAGAATGAAAAAGATGTCTGGTTGGTCATTGAGAATGGAATGGTGCATTCATGTGGGAATCATATATCTATGTTCCTGCAAAACTAGCTAATTTGATCCCATAGAGGGGTAGACCAATGATCTTATTGACTGCCACACTGCCACTTTGATGTGCTGCTCCACTACCCTATTTTGTCACCTACCATTACACTTCCAGTTGATGGCACTCCAGATCCACTTTGCTAATCAAGGATCATTGATTCAGAGCTGCAATGTCAATAGCGACTCCAACAAATAGAGACGGAGAAACTGACTAAGATCACCGATAATAGAGGTGCAGTGGTTACTCCAACCAACATATACCCCCTGATTCACAATCCCTCTCTTCTACGTGTTTCTATTTGAATCAATGGCAACAATCTTTAGCAAGTCTTGTCAGGTTTTTTGAGTGATGAGGATTGTCTCTGGCAGTCAATTTTTGTCTCTAATGTTTTGAAAAGGCACTTGCTCTTATTATTAAAATTTTAGAATGGAAGAGTAACAAAGTTGCTATGAGCTAATACAAATGTGGGGTTTCAGTGGGTTTGGTTTTAGGGTTATGATGATGATAATAGTTGGGTTTAAAATTTGATAAATATACACGCATGAGAAGAATGTAAATGGTCCATTCCACATGTGGTACATTACAACCGGTGTTGTCACGTTCCAATCTCAATTTCATTCATGTCTAGACAACATAGCTTTAAGGCTCGTCTTGGTCCCCATTTACGTTTTTTTACATCATTGAAGCTAATTTACTATCTGAACCTTGTATCTTATATATTGACAAGTATTTGTGTTTATGACTGGCAGTTCAGGCGGGTGGCTAACCTGTACTTCCTTGCAATCTCATGTTTATCGTTTACACCTGTCAGGTATGGTTTTTCAAGAAAAAGAACCCTTTTACAAAAGCATGCTCATTGCCTTGTTGGTGTGATTAGCCCAACTTTACATGATTTATTCTACTTTCCTGGAGCAACACATTACAAACTGCAGTTTTAGTTTGGGTCAAATTGGTGTAAATTTGCGGTGTCTATTTTAGCTGATGAATAGTTAACAGAACATGATTTCAGTTTGCCTTTGTGAGTTTGGTATCTTTGTACCTTGCCGAATGAACCCTTTAAAAAGTTCTGACATTGATTAATTCCCCATTTTCGTGTATATGGCTTAACTCGTTGTTTTGTTAGTTAGCTAGCTATGCTACAACAAGATGTTTTCGTGTTACACAGAGTGAAATGAAGGTAATGGGGTATAACATATGGAGCCATATATCGGAAGTTGCAAGATGCAAAGACTTGAGTGGTCAGAATTGGATTTCATTCCTCACTAATTATACTATTTTATTCGTCATGCAAAGCGCTCTTTTGGAACGTTAAGGCTTTATATATGGGGAATAATCAAATGAGAACCACAAAAAGGTTGAGAACCATGAGAACCAGTAATCATGTGTTTGTGAAAAATGCATGTGAAAAATGCAGTTTTATTTCACAATGTGATTATTTTTAGTGTATACTTTTTGTGAAACAACACTGTATTTTCACAATGTAAAACAACACATCTTTAGTGTTCTCACGGTTGTCATCCTTTTTGTTGTTCTCATTTGATCATGCTCATATATATATATATATACACACACACATATACATATAAAACCTTAACATTCCTCTTAACATATCATTCTTCTTACAAAAATGTGCTATCTCGGTGGTGTTTTCTGTCATATCAATATTATTTAGTATTGGTGCTTCATAGCTTGTCACAACATATTAGGCCTCCAGCTTTCAGGATAAATGTTAAATTGTAATCAAGTGATGGATAACAAAGTTTTGTAATTGTAATAAGAACATTTTACAGTGTAACTAATATATAGTTCATTAGGATACGTAGCCTATCTGAAATATTCTTTCTATCTTCAGCAGCTAAGCATATATAATAAGTCTTTAAGCCCTGCTTTCCAAAATATTTGTTACAACTTATTGATGCAACATATAAGCCTAATTTTATACTTCACATTGATCTGCGCTCATTTGTATTCTAGATCCTAGACTTGTTTGAATTGGTATACTTATGGATTTCTGTTTTGATTGTTGTTAGCATTGACCCTGACTTAGTTCTTTTCTTATGCAGTCCTGTTAGTCCAATTACAAACGTAATCCCACTAAGCATTGTCCTTTTTGTCTCTCTTATCAAGGAGGCATTTGAAGATTGGGTGAGTATTATTTCACTTTCTTCAACTTTGCAATTTTTTAGGCCTTGACAGCTTATAAATGTGTGCTTTTGATTTCAGGATTTGTTTTATCACCCATTATCATCTGTTTCTTACACATCTTTTACAATGTTTACTATAGTTGTTTGCTTAGAGTGTTTGTATTTTTCTCTCCCTCACAAAACCCTAATTATAACAGAAACGCCTTCAAAATGATACGACAATAAATAATTCTCCTGTTGACATGCTGCAAGACAAAAGGTGGGAGTCTGTACCCTGGAAGATGCTGCAAGTTGGGGATATTATTAGAGTAAGTACGCTACAAATTCTTATTTCCTTTTATGATCATCTTGAACCATTTGGGTGAATTCTATGGTTAGTTAATGGTTGAGAAGCCAATATTCGTAGGAATTCTTTTATGCTTCATTATATTGCAGGATAAATTTGAGCTTTAATTAGTGCCTTTTAGATTGTTAGTTGTTTAGCCTTTATCATGTTCCTAGTTCTGCATCTATTTCACATTCCATCAAGCATCACTATATCTTCCGCATTTGTAGCTTATCTAGTTGTACGGTTCATAGTTATTTTGTTAATGAGTATCCTTTATAATGGCATTCTTGATCATCAAGACATAAGAGGGCCTAAAAATTGTGGGTTTTATTATAAATCAAGACATAAGAGGGCCTAAAAATTGTGGGGTTTTTTTTATAACGTGGCAATTCTTCATGATTTTGTTTGGAGACTGGGAACCCCTCATATGGAGGTGGGCAAGCCGAGGTAATGAAAGCTTGTTGCCCAGTCGTTGATGCGCCCCTTGGTTGTTCACAAGGCAACCCACAAGTGTGTTATTCGAACTCAATATTTACATTATTTTGACTCGAGTAAGCTTTAACCGCTCGAACAAGCCTACATTAATCATATCATCAACGAGTGTTTGACATCCGGAAAGAAATGAAATTATAATCGTAAGAATATGTTTGAGAATGAATGTCATTTATCATATGACGAATAACTTTGCAATTTCGTTTGATATTTTAATTAGAGAGTAAAAATATTGGTAAAAGTATAAAAGCTAGCCATGAGACTTGGAGCTATAACACTATTATAAAACATTGTATAGACCAACCAAACCAGGTGTATCTTAGTTGATGTATCAATACTACCTGCTTACAAGTTGTACATCTAATACTTGTAAAAGGAGACGGCAAAGAAAGCGTTCAGTTTTACCATAAGAGTACAGGAATTGTTTATCTATTTGGTACTGAACAATTAATAGGTTCAGTACCCAACTTGTGTAGGTCCATCCATGATCACAAGGATAACAAATAATTCACAAAATGCTTAGTACGCTTGAGGTGATGATCATAATAATCCACTATATGTTTGCACATGTATATAACCTCCTAATGAGGTTATATTCAAAATGAGGCATGACTGTTGAAACGTTTTGCATGGTTGGGTGACTAGTGTGGTAATGGTGTACTCATTTATAGGATCCGAGGTTGATCTTTTGCAATGTTTTGGGCCTATCTTAAAAATGGCAAAAACTAGGGGGTGGTCACTGTGGAATGGCCCCAACTTTATTTAGGTTATAAACGTTCAAGGTTCACCGCTCACCAATTTTATGTATGTGTGTATGAATATATAAATAGAAAAACTTCTACCCCAGTGAAAAATATCTGAGATGGAATCTATGAATATGATCTACTAACATATATAAATTTAATTCCTATGTTACAAATCATTAAATGACACCACTCCATAGATTATTGTTGACAACTGCTACTATTTTTATTGTCACCGTCTTTATTGAAGTTCAATGCAATTCTAAAATGTTCATCTGGTTTTAGGTGAAGCAAGATGGATTCTTTCCAGCAGATCTACTTTTCCTTGCAACTACAAATCCTGATGGTGTTTGCTATACTGAGGTCTGTTTCCAGTTCAAGTTTGCTAGTTAACCATACATGAATGCCTTTAGAACGAGCTTTAAAGATATATACATATAGATAGGCCTAAAGCTCTTGATTTTGGGTCAAAGATGTCTGATTGCATCTTTGAGTTTTAAAATTAAGGAACATATTTGTTGGAGATTTTGTTGACACATACTCACCTTGACCTTCAAGCTTTCTCAAGCTTTATAGCCATTGAAAATAATTGGTTGTTGCTGCTTGTGAAACCTCCATACTGACAGGCATAGGACACATACACAGAAGGAATAAGAGATAAGACGAGACATAGAGTTACGGCTTCATATAATAAGCTGAGCAAAACAAAGTTCACATGACTTAGGGAAAAAGTTACGAGAAAAGATTAAAAGATGAAACATCATCATCTTAAAGGGATGAGGGTAGGGGAGATACAGGATTAAGGAATCATGCGGATCAAGAGTTTAGTGGATTACAAAGATTAAGGTAGCAGAGATGAGGATATTTGAATGTTTATTACAACTAGCAAGAGGATAACTATTTGAAATTTGATAGAAGTATTCGCACTGAGGGAATCACTAAGATGTTGACATTTTACTTAAGGATCAGTAAGTTTGTTAATCGACAAACCTGACCATAATAGTAAACAAAGACACTAATCATGACTTTGAAGCAGGGGTGTGAAAACCTGCAATTCTCCCACAGGGTGTGATGAATCTCTGATAGGGTGGAATGCTGCAAACATTATTCCTGTTACGTTAACTAAAAACTTGAAAAAAGTTTGCTGGGTGCTTTTAGGACTCTGACACAGTGGGATATGACAAAAGGAAAGGGAGTAGGAGCGAAAAAATTGACAATTTAGGCTCAAAATGTGTGTTAGGGCAGCATCGGTGTCCTTTGTTCTTTGTCTCAAAAGGGGATCTCTCTCTCTCTCTCTAATTATATATATATATGTATATATAGATGATTTATAAAAATATTGTCATGCTATGTTAATTTCAAAGTTTTCAACTCAAATTTGTTTATTCCCCAATTTCATTGCTACATATGACTGATGGTATTTGATTTTTAACAAGATATCTTATTTTGGCATTATTGAAGGGTTTTTTTAGTGAATCCAAATGGCAATCAAACACTTCTATCAACCTACAAGAAGTTGTGTGCAAATTCATAGGGGGGAGAGTATTAATTTATATGTGCTGTCTGCGGACTAGGAGAACCAAATCAAGGGGACCCTGTATGGTGAACCAAATTCTGGCACCTGTATCATTGCTTCTAAGGACACGAGTAGGGCTAGGAGTTCAATTGGCATGAACGGTGACAATTGGGGATTACACTGTCATTCAGGTCTCACTGAAAAACAACAACACAAGATTCATTAGGAATGTATAGAAAGGTTGTTGTATGTCTATGCTTGTCCAACTCTTATCCTTTATATTAACATAATATGTTGGAAATATAAAATGTCTAAATATTTTCCTCTCTTCCGGCGTGTGATATTGACATCTTGCGCCAGGTACATCTGCTTCTTAAGAAAAAGGAATTCTAATTGACCTGTTATGCATTTTACTTGTTCTACTTCATGGTTCACAGACTGCAAACCTGGATGGCGAAACAAATCTTAAAATCAGGAAAGCTTTGGAGAAGACGTGGGACTATGTGATCCCTGAGAAAGCTTCAGAATTTAAAGGTTAAAGCTTTAACTGATCCAACTATTTTGACATCTTAGGGCAATAGTGCATTGACGTAGCTGTTTCTATTTATGTCGGTCAAATCCTAAGTGACAATAACTATGGATTTCCGTTGGTTTTTTAGAAATTTTGTTTTACACTGCATTGCAAGATGATGAGTTATTACATTTGCAGGCGAAATACAGTGTGAGAAACCAAATAATTCACTCTATACCTTTACTGGGAATTTGGTACTTCAAAAGCAAACATTACCCCTTGGTCCAAATCAAATTCTGTTGCGAGTAAGATATGATACTTCCCTTTTCTTACTATTCCAGTATTTCTTCCTTGCCTTGTCGGGATTCAAGTTATAATGTGTCTCTCACGTATCCTCTTCATTTTATATTTAGTTTTGAAATTCATTCCTCAAGTATTAGTGAGCGATTCTTGGCTGTGATGGCTTTGATATCCTATTCTTCCAGGAGCATATGTAATCAAGATAATAGGAATAGACCTACACAACAATGAAAGGAAATGAAATACTTGGGTGTATTGGGGGGGGGGGTCCCTCTTCACTGGGCTTTATCTATTTCGCTCTATGGCCTACGGTTACTCAAGTGTGGAAGCAATCTTATCCATGCATTCCTCTTAAGAATGAAGTAATAGACCATTAATAATGAGATGTTTATTTATTTGTTGTACATATAGTCCTTTGTTGGCTAAAAAGTTCTGCATAATTAGTCTGTAACAGTCCTTCCATTGTTTTTCTTAAACATCTCGCTGGTTTAGTTAATCTAGTATCTGTTTGCTCAATTGTGTTCTAAAAAGTAACTGTTTATTCATATTGCTGTACATGCTTTTCAGGGATGCAGCCTACGTAATACAGAGTATATTGTTGGGGCTGTGATATTTACTGGACATGAGACCAAGGTTTCTAAATAGTTACTCTTTATTGGCCACCAAATGCTGTATATTCTTAAGCAACCTCACGAGGAAATGGCGTGGTTTACATTATAATATTGGGAGCCTGCATAATATGATCCTATATATACATATATATATATATATCATGTTCTAGCATCAGGGCTCTGGATATTTAGCGTTGAATTTGGAGGAATCATCATGTAGTATAATCTGTGCGCATTATAAGGCAGTTTTAGTTTGCTCGCTATACCTTAATGTATACAAAACCATGTTTATACAGGTGATGATGAACAGCATGAATGTCCCTTCTAAAAGGAGTATGCTTGAGAGGAAACTTGACAAAGTAATAGCTACCCTTTTTGGTGTTCTTCTTACACTGTGTTTAATTGGGGCTATAGGCAGGTACTGGATAGGTTATCAGCTCATAAAAGTTTGTTGCCTCCAACTTCTTTTTGAGCTTTCGTTCATATTTTGTAGTGCCATATTTGTGGATGTGAGGTATTACTACTTACAGCTTTTGATTAATGTGGAATCTCAACAGTTTAATCCAAGAAACAGAATTATGGTATTGTTTTGCTTGCTGATGTGAGGAGTTTCTCTTTTCTCTCTTGTCCTTGATGTTACTGATTCTGTTAGTTTGCTTTCAGGTCTTCTTTTTAAGCATCTTTACCCTGATTACTCTGTATTCACCAATTATTCCGATTTCTCTTTATGTTTCTATTGAGGTAGGTGTTCATGAATGATATTAAGCTAGTATTTCAGGGACTCATTTCTTGTTTTGTGTCTCCTTTTTCAGATGATCAAGTTTATTCAGTCCACCAAATTCATCAATAATGACTTGCGAATGTACCATTCAGAAACCAATACCCCCGCATTAGCACGAACATCCAATCTAAATGAAGAACTTGGGCAGGTAATGTATGAAGTACTTTAAATTAATGTATATGTAGGGGTTTTATACGATTTTGTAACCTTAAAACGCAAAGGAAAATTAAGGTTACATTAATTTTTGAAAACTTTTCTAAAACAACCCTAAGCCGGATCCAATGACGCATCTAATTAGTTCTAAACAAACCATAGGGGGTCTAGAATTGTACCATTCAAATCTATGGCTGGTTCTGACTGAGCACTTAGAAACCAAGTTAAGATTCCTCAATTGGTAGTCCACACATGAACACGTTTCTGGCCTCCACTGGGTGCTAGCTCAAAACCCTAGATCTAATATGCGTTCTTGACAGAAAGAAAGAAAAGGTTTTTTTTCCTGTTTTTCTCTGATAGCTAAAACCTAAAAGATTGAATCAATCAGTTTTTGGGTTTATCACCTTATTTATATGCACTGAATCATAGTTAGACCATAATCCAATAGAGTGTCTTGCCTTCGCAATATCGAAGGAGAAATGTATTATACGCTGGCGAATAATCTCCGCTTAAGCGCTCATAGGGCATTTTCCCCATAAGAGTTGCCACTCGAATCAGCCTGCATTTCGAGACTGGGGAAGCCTCCTTGCCCTATTCTGAATAGAACTGGAGCCAGCTTTGCTTAATAAGTGGGCTAAACCTCTTCTCTCCTTCGGTCCCCTCTCTTTGTCAGTTCCAACCATCGGCGTATCAGCTTCCAGAGCTGATGCTTTATCCAATCCAGTTCAAATAAGGTTATGTAATTATCTGTAATATTTATATAATTATCTTAAATATTCGTATGTGACGTGTCGTGGGCATATAATAACTTACAGTATCCAATGAGAATATGAGATTGTCCTTACTAGTAAAGCCATTCTCTGCTTGTGCCAAATTTATTGTAGCACCAAATCACTGAGACGGTCTTGTGTGGTAGGTGGAGTACATTTTTTCTGATAAAACTGGAACTCTAACAAGAAACTTAATGGAGTTCTTTAAGTGTTCTATTGGTGGAGAGACATATGGAACTGGTATTACCGAAATCGAAATGGAAGTGGCAAAGGAGAATGGCGCAAACAATGAGGTACAGTAACTATCCTAACTTGGAATAGGATGTAACTTGATGCATGAAATATGAAACTTCTGTTGTAAATAACTTCACAGGTACATAAACCATCATCCACAAAACGTGACAAGGGTTTCAATTTTGATGATGCTAGGCTTATGCGTGGTGCTTGGAGGAATGAACCTAATCCTGATATGTGCAAGGTAATTTACTTCCATAGCAAATTTGACCTGAAGATTTCTTAGGGGTTGTTTGGTTGGCTTTCCATTAAGTCCTGTCTAGATAAAACTATCTATGTGGATTAATCTATCTGTATAGATTGAGAAGGTTTTTATTTGGGAGAGTTTTTTCATTGGTGGAAGGAGCGTATTTTTAATTGGGAGATACAGGTATGGAAAAAACTTGGCTTTCTGCATAAAGCTCCCCCTTAGATGCTTATTGAATAAGCCACTTTCTATATCATTGAGCCACTACCAATAGTCATGTATAGCTGACCGAATAAGCTGTAAGTCTCATTAAGCTGCTAACAAACATGCCCTTAGTTATTGGTCTGAGGTGAAATTTCTTTTATTTAAATCGATGAAAGGACGTTGAAGACAATATGTTTTGCTGTAAATCGATGAAACTGATGTATGTCACGATTGTTGTATGTAGTACAACTTGTTGCAGATATGGTTCAATTTATGGGACATGTTGATCTTAGAATTCAGACACTAGTATGATATATGATTCTGTTTTTCCATTTATTAAGACCATTTTCCTTGCTTGTTTAGGAATTTTTCAGATGCCTTGCTATATGCCATACCGTACTCCCTGAAGGTGAAGAGACCCCAAACAAACTTCGATATCAAGCTGCATCTCCTGACGAGGCTGCTTTAGTTACTGCCGCAAAGCACTTTGGCTTTTTCTTCTATAGGTATGTAATTGTCTTGATTCCCAGATGGGTTGTTAGTACGTTTTGTTTTTCACTCTTAATATTGCAAACACTGAGCATAATTTGTTGAACCTGTGGAGTTCTGTTTTTGTGTCTTATGCCATCATATAATGCATATATTTCAACTATTACAGGCGTACGCCTACAATGGTATATGTTCGTGAATCGCATGTTGAAAAAATGGGGAAGGTTCAAGATGTTTCTTATGAAATTCTTAATGTCCTTGAGTTTAACAGGTATAATATGTAACATCCCAGGCTAACCGTACCAGATATTGTCCGCTTTTTCGACACACCTATGGTTGAGGAGGTGCCTAGTTCCTTGTAAGGCAACCTTTGTTCCCCTCCCCAACCAATGTGGGATCTAATAATTGAGCATCTTTAACATCCTGGACCAACCGTACTAGATATTGTCCGTTGTGTCCACACCTGGACTCACGGTTCGCATCTGGTAGAGGAGGTGCCCGGTTCCTCATAAGGCAACCTTTATTCCCCTCCCCAACCGATGTGGGATCTTACATAATAGTTTGGACAACTTTCTGATTTTCAATGGTACATACTTTAACCACAATCATTTTTGCTTCTTATAGTACTAGAAAGAGGCAGTCTGTTGTATGTCGTTACAAAGATGGAAGGCTTGTATTGTACTGCAAAGTAAGAATCTAGTAAGCCACCCTTGCAACTTGAACTTCTTTGTTAAGATGTAAACTGACCCTAATGCAGAATCTGTTGATCACAGGGAGCTGATTCTGTAATCTATGAGAGGTTGGGCAGTGGAAATGATGAGATAAAAAAAATTACCAGGGTGCATATGGAACAATATGGAGAAGCTGGATTGCGAACTCTTTGCCTGGCTTACAAAGATTTAAGTCACGAGATGTATGAAAGTTGGAATGAGAAATTTATCCAGGCAAAATCTTCTCTACGGGACCGTGAGAAGAAATTGGATGAGGTAAGTAGACTTGATAAATGATCGGTTATGCTCAAGTTTATAGACCTCTTCATCTTTGTGTAGGCCTATTCATATGAAACAACAGGAAAGATGTTATGATGCAAACTACAATGTTAGGATGAAAAGTTTCGTTAGGGTGCCTATGGTACGGGGTTGGACACGACTGGAATGGAATGGATGGGCGAGAGTGAGGTAGGAGGGTGAAAGAATTGTGGAAGGTTTTAGGGTTTTAATTTGATATGAGTAGTTTAGTAATTTATCAATCTTGCCCCATCTCCCTGAATTTTGTTCCACCTAGTATGGTGGGACGAAAAATGCATTTTTATCCTACTCAGGTCTGTATCATCCCAAGTCTAACGCCGTGCCAAACGTGGGACAACAAGTTTTTGTACTGTCTTGTCGAGCCTGTCCGACGTACAAATGCACCCTTAGACCTTAGTGATATCTTTTGTCCCTTTTTGACTTTTTTCTTCTTACTTTTCTTTGGATTGGATGCAAAGAGGCTTGGAAGTGCATTGCCATTGGCCAAACAGGGTTGCCAACCCTTAATGAGTGCACAATGTGGAAGGAGTTCTATTTCTGGGTTCTTTCTCATCTATTCTTAAATAGATAGAAGTAACTATATCTATGTCTGAAAGCATGTGAAACTGAAAACAGGTTTCTGAACTGATAGAGAAGGATCTTAACTTGATTGGATGCACTGCGATAGAAGACAAGCTTCAAGAAGGGGTTCCATCCTGCATAGAAACTCTTTCTAAGGCTGGAATAAAGATCTGGGTGCTTACAGGAGACAAACTTGAAACAGCAATAAATATAGCTTACGGTATGATTCTTTTTCCTTCTTCTTGAGTTGATCATGGCGTTCTTGACTTAACTAACCTTTTTTTTAAATTACAAAAATAACCCAAAAATACATTTTTTCCAAAAAAACCCATCCATTTCTCCAAATTTTTCACTAAAAGAAGAAAGGCCCCACAAAAGATCCATGTGGGCCCCACAAAAATTCATGGGTATAAATACTAGAATCTTGGAAACAACACCAAACAACAATAAATATAATTTATGTGGGCCATTTCATTAAATGCCTCACGAATCCCCCCTCATTTAACGAAACCAGCCAAGGGGTCCCATCAGCAACAACTTTCCAGATTTTTGTGGGCCCTTTCTCCTTTTGTGAAAAAATTAGAGAACTGGATGAGTTTTTTTGGAAAAAAAAATATTTTTGGGTTATTTCTGTAATTTTTTTAAAAAGGTTAGTTAAGTCAAAGAACCCGGGTCATGATTTTTATATAAGCCATGTCATTAGAAATATGTTATTTATGTATGTATATTCTAATTGCCCCAGCTTGCAAGTTGATTAACAATGACATGAAACAGTTTATTATCAGTTCAGAAACTGATGAAATCACAGATGTTGAAAGCAGAGTAATATCTCTTCCCTTAATCTATTTCATCATATCAGAATTGTAATTTGTACACTAAGCATCGAACTCAAGTAAAACTTTTCTTCCAGGGTGACCAAGTGGAAATTGCTCAGTTTATAAGAGAAACAGTAAAAACTGAGTTACAAAAGTACCATGGAGAGGCACAAAAAATCCTTAATGGCTCATCGAGGCAAAAGTTAGCCCTTCTTATAGATGGAAAGTGTTTGATGTATGCCTTAGACCCAACTTTGAGGTCAATGTTGCTCAGTTTGAGCTTGAACTGTAGCTCAGTTGTCTGTTGCCGCGTCTCTCCTTTACAAAAGGCACAGGTAATACTTCTAGTTATGCAAAAGTTTGTTCTACTATTGAAGTTTTTCTTTATCATAAAATAAAATTATTGGATTGGTTGCATTCATTCGAAGTTTTGTTAGAATGCTAGGGAGCATTTGGTTCGCATAATGGAATTCGGTGGAATTGGAAATCATCAAAGGAATTTGACTTTGAAGGAATTGGAATGGAATTTGATGGAATTTGACCACACATTTTGATTGCGTTTGGTTAGATGGAATTGAATTCTGTGGGATATCCCGTGGAATGTTGAAATCTTTAATTCAAGGAATTCAATGGAATTCAAAGGATTCCATCATTTTCATTACGTGAAACAAATAAAGGATTTGGAAGTTGGTCAAGGAAATTATCCATTCCAGTTCCTTCCAATTCCATCAAAATCCATGAACCAAACACCCCCTTAGTTTACATGTTTTAAACAGTTCTTTTTGGTGCGTTTGTTATTCAGACAGGATATGACAGAAAAACTGTTCAGCGTTTGGTAAGACAAGATTGGACAAGACAGAACATAAATTGACTAATTTACTCCTAATGAGTTGTTTATATATTTTGATTAATTGAAGTTATTAAATTATATTAAAATAATTATTTTTATAACAAAATATATCATTAGAATGTTTTCGTCAAGACGATTAATATGACACCAAAATAAAAGTTCATGTAGTTTCCAATTTTTGTTATACTTTTTCTATATACTTTTTTATTTTTTAATATTTAATAAATTACATAAATTAATCAAAATATTGAAACCGTATAAAAATAATATTTTGAGGACGGTAAAGTGAATGTAAAGAGGGAGGCGTATTTGATGTTTTATAAGAGAACTAGGTGATATTTTAAGGTTATATTGGTAAAATATAGGTTTGTTCCATCTTGTTCCACCTTGTTCCATGGGGTGGGGGCGGAACATGCTTGTTCCACTCTGTTCTTCTACTCTATTTTTGTCTGTTCTATATAAAAGTCCTGCCAAACGTGGAATAGTGAACCACGGATCCTTGTATTGCCCTGTCTAGTGTACCAAACACACCTTTAAGTTCAAAATACATTTTTGGGTATCGGATTGAAGTAAGACTATGCATTTCTATATCTAGTTCTCAAGAAAATCAACTTATGCATGCTTAAAGTTCAAACTTCATTATCCCATCTTTCCAAAAGGTAATTGATATTTACTTTCTTGTTCAAATTACAAGAGATCACACAGTTCATGCATGGCTAAACTTATGCAAATTTGTTTTAATTATTATTTCCTAGCATGGAGGAGAGATTCAGGGGATGTTTGGTTGGTTTTCCATCAAGTCCTGTATGGATAAAAATATTTGTGTGCTTAAATAGTCTCTATAGATTGAGAAGGTTTTTGTTTAGGAGGGTTTTCTCATAGATGGAATGAAACATGTTTATTAATTGGGAGGGGTAGGTTTAGGAAAAACTTGACTTTCTACGTAAAGCTCCCCCTATAAGCTTACTAAATAAGCCACTTTCTATATCATTAAGCCACTACCAAACAGTCATATATAGCTGACCGAATAAGCTGTGAGTCTCATTAAGCTCATTAAGCTGTTAACAAACAAGTCCTCAATAGATAATATTGACATTGATTATGCAGGTAACAAGACTGGTCAGAAAAGGTGCAAATAAGATAACACTAAGTATAGGTGATGGGGCAAATGATGTTGGAATGATACAAGCAGCAAATATTGGAGTCGGAATAAGTGGTTTAGAAGGGATGCAAGCAGTGATGGCTAGTGATTTTGCAATTGCTCAGTTTCGTTTTCTAACAGATCTACTCCTTGTTCATGGACGATGGTCGTATCTTAGATTATGCAAGGTTTATCTTTACTTTCTGGCCTGAACCTTCAAACTATTTCTGTTCTTCATGCTTACAAGAACACTTGTTATGCAGGTTGTTTCGTACTTCTTTTACAAGAATCTTACCTTCACGTTGACTCAATTTTGGTTCACGTTCCAAACTGGGTTCTCTGGTCAAAGATTCTATGACGATTGGTGTCAGTCTCTATACAATGTCATTTTCACCGCCCTGCCTGTTGTCATCGTTGGACTGCTTGACAAGGTATTTGAATCTTTCTTCCTTATGTTCATCTAGACGAAGGATCGTGTGAGACTAGGAGTTTAAGGTGAGAAGTAAAAGGGATTTGGACCCTTGATCACTTTTAATCTCACCCCCACCCTATGCATTGCGCTTCTCACGGATATTGATCCGGTGGATCTCATTAGTGTTGATCCTCAATCAGGATTGATCAAAGGGTGGAGAACCCTTCTTACCCTTCTGACTGTAACTTCCATTCTCACCAGAACCCAACCCTGTTCATCTATGCCCATTGTGAAATGACCGTAACAAGTAGCTTTTGTATGAAATCATATTCGGTTCCAAAGAGAGGAGGTATGATCTGAGTGTTAACATCAAACCGCGCTGACAGAGAATTGATATGTATTCCTTAAGTTTTCAATAGGAGTTTGGTAACTTGCTACAACAGAATCGGCTTTACAGGACGTGAAACGTGTGTCCCGTGTAAATGTGCCAATAGACTGTTTTATAAGACTTAGGTTTATAGGACCAAACAATTGTGTATCTATATAAGAGTGTTTCAATAAGTTGATAGGATGTTTTTGAATGCTTTTGGATACACTTGAAATAAATTGTCCTATTAGCTTCTTTATAAGACATTTTTAAAAAGACTAATAGGATGCACTATTTTAAAAACTGTTCTAAAAAACTTGTTAGGGTGCCCAAAAACGGCCTATCAACTTATTGCAACCAATTTACATAGCACACAGAGTTGTTTGGTCCTACAAACTTAAGTTCTATAAAGCAATCGCGTTGGACATTCAAGGGGTTGTTTGGTTGGTTTTCCATTATAAGTCATGTATGGATAAAGTTGTTTGTGTCGATGTATAGATTGGGGAGGTTTTTGTTCGGGAGGGTTGTTTCATAGATGGAAGGAGCATGTTTTTTAATTGGAAGGGGTAGGTTTGGAAAAACTTGGCTTTCTACATAAAGCTCCCCTAGAAGCTTACTGAATAAGCCACTTTCTATATCATTAAGCTACTACCATACAGTCACGTATAGTTGACTGAATAAGTTACGAGTCCCATTAAGCACATTAAGCTGCTAGCAAACAGGCCCTTAGACTTATTTGGCGTCCTATAAACCCAATTCTATTATAGTGACTATCTTTAATACAAACACTTTAATAGATCAAATTCTATTTCATTTCATTGTATGATGATAATTTTGCTAGAAAGGACCTTTTGTTTTCACAATACACTTTGCAGGATGTGAGTGTAGAGCTCTCGAAGAAATACCCGCAATTATACAAAGAGGGAGTAAATAATACCTTCTTCAACTGGAAAGTTGTGGGTACTTTGGCTTGCTTTTCGGTTTATCAATCGATAGTCGTGTACAACTTTGCGGTCGTTTCTAGTACGTCAGGTTTAACCCCATCGGGATTAATGTTGGGCCATTGGGATGTTAGCACATTGGCGTTCACGTGTCTTGTGATAACGGTCAATTTGCGTCTTCTTATGATGTGTAGCACAGTTACAAGGTGGCACAACATTAGCATTGGAGGCAGCGTGCTATTATGGTTCATATTTATATTTATATATGCCATCCTTTTTATTGACAAGGTTCGTATAATCGTAGCTTTTGAACTATAAATTGCTTTTTGGTATGATTTAGTTGTAATCTAGGCCTGAATTCATCTGTTTTTCAACTTCAGGGGACCTTTTTCACCATTTATGTCCTAATGAGCACCATCTGCTTCTATTTGATGATCATTCTTCTCCCGACTGTTGCACTTTTGGGCGACTTCATATACGAAGGGTGAGTTTTTCTTTTTCTATAAATAAATGTCTCTAGAGGGAGAGTTCATTGTGAATGTTACTTATCATGAATTACATGCATTTTCATTGTGATGAATAATATTCATTGTGAATATCTCTATCACGACATTCATCATGAATAGGACATGAATAAGAATAATAGGTGTAACAAGTCGTCCCACATAGATAGAAAATAGGATCTGTGAGCACCTTATAAACCGTAAGTTATGGGCTACCAATAACTTTCACCATAGTTTTAAGTTGGATTTGAAGTTATTGGGTCGGCCTGTTGCTTTAGGGTATTATATTCCTTTCATCTAATAAAATATTATTTCTCTCTTTAAATATTTATTTTCAAAGTTTTCTATTGGTGGAAATATATTAAATAATATTTCTCTCATTGTAAATCATCTTTTGGGTATTGTCCGAATTTGGAGACTTTTACGCTCTCCTACTTTCTCCATTTTGGAGAAAGGTTTTGGAGAATCCGTTGAAGCAAAAAACATGACCAAAATCCTCAAAAAATCTCTATTTTCTCCATTTTGGGGAATTTGTTGGAGATGCTCTTACGTCAGATTCTCAAAATATTTACGGTTCTTATTTAAACCGGATATGCTATTATGTATTTGCAGCCGTTCTGACACCCGAATGGTTAATTCTGGTGTTTGGGTTCAGGTTTCAGAGATGGTTATACCCGTACGATTATCAGATTGTCCAAGAAATCCACAGGCATGATCCGGATCCAGTTTGTGCTGGATTGCTGGATATAGGCAACCAACAGACCCCAGAGGACGAAAGAAGGTACGCATTTGCTATGCTGCCAAAGGAAAAGTCAAGGCACACGGGTTTCGCATTTGACTCACCAGGGTACGAGTCGTTTTTCGCTTCACAACAAGGAGTGGGTGCGCCCCAACGGGCTTGGGATGTGGTTCGAAGAGCTAGCATGAAACCTCAACCTAGAGAACAGTAGGAGTTTATACACAAAAAGGAAAGAAAAAGAGAGCATACTAGTCTTGATTCATTAATGAATGAATCATTGGTGCTTTTGGTTTTGTTGAGCTTGATTTATTCATTAATGAATGAACTTTAGTTTCTCTAGGTTTGTAGCCTACAACCAAGAAAGGTTGATTAGACGGACAAATTACTTGTATGCATATAGAGGTGCTAAAAAACCTGATCAATTCAACCCAACCCGATGAACTCTATATATTTTTATTTTTTGAATTTAATATGATTGTTGAATTTCTGTTAATATGTACATTAGACAATGGCACTATCACGTACGCTCTTCATATACACATATTCAATCTATATTCTCATCTCTATAATTATATAATTCATTCGTATATATGTTAATAAACTGTGAATATATATATATATATATATATATATATATATATATATTGAGAAAATTAACTGAATGTGATATACGTGAGAAATATGGATAAGTTGTATCAAATGGTTGATGATGAAAAAGAAATTATGAGTATAGAAATAACATATTCGAGGTTAGAAGAATATTTTAATGTACCAAAATATGAATCCAACCAACTCGTATGGTTTGAGTTGGTTTAAGATTTTTCAAACCACAACCATTGGATGAATGAGAGGGATTGTGAATTTGTTAAAATATTCAATTTATACCATCAATCAATATTTAACTTATTCTAGATATCCAATCAAAATCATATATATATATATATATATATATAGTATTAAGGTTCGGTTTAAATAAGTAGGCTAAATATTGTGAGAAGGTAAGAAAAGATATTCATATATGAATCATTGAGGAAATCTATTTGAAGTTGATATATAAACCAACCTTGTAGATTTTTCATATGGATTCATATATGAATCTTCAAATGAGATTTTCAATGATTTACATATGAACCTTCTCTTAACCTATTTTTCTTTAATTTTTTATTTAAATCTTGAAGGATATCAAACACATACACACACAATGTTTGTTATGTATGACATGAATAGAAATTGTGGGTTGTAATAACTAAATTATCACATGAAATTGTCATAACTATTTTCATGTGCAATTATTGTCATTCATAAATGTGTTGTGGCTTCTTGTTATTTGGGTTTTGGCCAACATTTATGGATTCATTATTATTGTTAAATTATGGTAAATTTTAGATTATTAGGTATTTATTATTCCTTCTACCAAATAAGTTTAAAGTTGTCATAATTAGGAGTATGTCATTTAGATAATACACAATATATATATATATATAACAAACCATACAGATAGTGTCTAATTGGTTTGAGCTTGAACTCTAAAGGTTAAAAATGTCTGGAAGTCCGAGGTTCGAATCCAAGTATGAATAAAAATTCCCATACGGCCAGGAGTGTGCAAAACCCAAATTATCCAAAATCCAAACCCAAACCCGAACCGAAAATAAGGTATTTATGTAAAATCCGAAAATCTGAAAACCAACTTTTGGGGAAAACTTAGGTTTGGTTCGAGTTTGATTTTTGGCCACTTGATCCGTCCAAAAATCTGAAATATATATACATATATATTTTAAATATTATATGAATATATTTATTTATCTAATTATCTTTTGAAAATTCTAAAAATCTTAGTCGGTCGTGTTTTTTTTTAATTTCTAAGTATACTATCGATTTATCAATTCTCTAAATTGATTGAATTCATCATCAAAATCGATTAGATATTTTTTTTTGCATTATAACTAAACCCAAACCCAACCGACCTCAACCCTAAACCCGACCAATCCGAAATCCAAAAATTGGGACTTGATTTCTATATCCGAAATCCGATCGGGTTTTTGATTTTTCCACCCGAACCCCTCCCGACTCATCCGATGCACACCCCTACTTGCGGCCACGGAGGTCCATATGCGGCGGGTGGTCGTTTTGGGATTAGTCGGCGCGTATAGATGGTTAGATATCCAGGTTAATCAAAACAAACAATATATATCAAACTTCTTTTCTCTTAAATTGAGTTTTGTCAGATGATAAAAAAAATTATCTGGTAACCTAAAATTTATGAGTTTGACGCTTGTTTTTTATATACTCAATAAAACATAACTAAATTACCATCAACCGTTATTACCAAAAACTTTTTGGTAGACAGTATTCTGCCAAATTTGGTGATTTACTATTTATCAACAGAATTTATATCGAATAGATTCTCCAAAATAAATTCATTAAAGCTAATTATTTAAGCACATCTAACAAATACTCAAAAATAGAGAAATAAAAGTAAAATTTTCAAATAAAATTTATATTTATCTCCGACAGCTTCTCCATTTTGCAGATTATAATATTAATTATATTATTAAAATATTTAGTACATTTTATAAAATATTATTTATCTCACATACACACTTAATTTCAAGGATTCTCATTGGTATGAAGAATAAAAGACAGTTTCTCTTTCATTGGAAATCATTTTTGTTTTAAAGAACGTTTTCAAGAATCTGTTGAAGTAAAAAGACCCAAAATCTCCACTTTAGTAAATCAGTTGAAAATGTTCTAAGAGGATCTTCAACAGATTCTTCAAAATAGATAAAATGGGAAAAATGGAGATTTTGAACTAATTGAGCTCCAACAAACCATCTAAAAGTATCTCAAAACAGGGAAAGTAGGAAAGAGAACGTTTTTTCTCCAGATATGAAGATCGTCTTAAAAATGATTACTATGTAAGAGGAATTTTTTTAAATATATTTCTATCGATAGGAAACTTTGAAAATAATTATTTAGAGAGAAAAATAATATTTTAATAGATAATGAAATATATTGATATCATAACCAATGTTAGTCTTTCTAAAATGGAGAATCTGCAAAGCAAGTGGTCGTTTTGGGATTAGTCGGCTCGCATAGCGGGTTGGATGTCCAGGTTAATAAAAAAAATGGAAAATCTGTTGGAGATAAATATCATTTTTTATAAAGATTTTAACTGAAGAATCTGTTAAAGATAAATGCAATCTTTTTAAAGATTTTAACCGGAGAATCTGTTGGAGATGGATGCAATTCTTTTTAAAGGTTTTAACTTTTAATTCAGAATTTTTGAGGAATTTATGGGAGATCTAAAAACATGTTTTTAGTAGAATATTAGGAGGTGGTTGGGATTGTTTATAAAAATAACTTATTGACTTATCCTGGTATAACATCAATAATAAGCACTTTTGAGTGTTTGGATAAGTAGTTTATCCCGGTACCAAACCGGTAATAAGAAAGTTTTGAAGAAATTAAATCATTCTAACTTATAATAAATTAATAAGAAGACATAAGTTGTTTCAAATAAGCAATCTCACAAATACTATGTAGAAAAAAACTAGAAGGGTACCCACGCAATGCAAAATATATCTAGATTTTAGTTTTTTATTTTATTTATTTTCTCTGTCGATATACTACGGTTTTACGTAGTTTTAGAAAACAATAATATTTTTATTTTTGAACGAAATATAATTTTTTTTAAAAATATATCAATATTAATATTAAATTAACTATTTAAAAATTCTCGTTTTTTATATAATTTAAATTTAATAATTGTTATGTATCCTTTCT